TAAAATTATTACCATATTACTGTACCTAAATAGTTGTAATTTATTACCTATTCTCGAATTATTGCTGTTTACATTAATGTTTATTGCTAAATCCGGTAGAAAAAATAATACAACGCTTAAAAATGAATATAATTCGCGCTTAAACATGTTTAAATACTGTAAATAATATATTCAGTATTAAATTTACGGAGAGATGTCAATAATGTCTTTTATATATAATAGTATACAATATTGTTAATAACCCAATGTAGTGAATATTTTCCTAATTATTTATGGCTATTACGAAATTAAAATTAAAACTTAAATTATATTTAAATACACTTGCTGTTGTAAATAATTAAAATCTTAAATTTTTATGAAACTATTGATTGATTTATCTAAGCATATAATTGTATTATTATATTTCGCACATTGGCTGTCCTAACATATCATCGTAATTAAACGTAGCAGTACCTATTTAGTTTTCTTATATTGCTTTATCAGCAGTGATCGACAGTGACCGAATAATCTGTACTATCGAATAATTTATTCGTTCGTACTTTCGAAAATTATTAAAACAATTTATATACATTCGAAAAATTTAGTCGTTCCTTGATTATTCGAATATTTTCATAAGTAATTGAAACCCTGAACTAAGATAATATTATCTTAGTTCATGGTTGAAACCAATATGGCCAGAACCGTCTAAAGATTTTTCGGGGTCAAGGGCAAATTAATGTGGGGGCCCTCGACCATTATAATACGATATGAAAAAAAACTGAGATTAACACAAAATTCTTGTAAATGTATTTTTACAAACCTTAACCAACCAAACTTATTTAAACTCATATACTGCATTAGGTACATAGAACATTTTAAATAACTTCTTAGCAATATATACTATAATATGTACTAAAAGAAAATACAATTTATCACTGGATAACTATAAACGTTCATTGCAAATAGGAAGTTGGATGTTTACAGGATTAAATAGATTAGATAAATTAAGAAAAAAAAAAAAATAGTAATTGTGTTGTTTTGTTATTCTTAATAAAATATTAAAATGTATATCAGAATTTTTTCCTAACATTTTTTCAGCGAATATGTCTATTACATATCATAACCTATGTTACCTTTGCTAACTTGTGTTCGTTGGAAAGGAGTATTAAACGATTTAAACGATTCTATTTTGTGGGGTTGACCGTAAATAACTTTTAGATTCGGAGCGTAGCGATGCATCTATTGATTTTACCTTAGACCATATAAATTATGAACTAAGTTTATATGGTTATTAGTTACTATGTCGTAAGGGTTTTATTATGATGATTTTTTCTGTCTGTAATATCGAATTCCTACGAAGAAATTTTAGTATTTTTATTATAATTTCTCCGTAATGTCACTCTGACACCAGTGCGCCACGACAACAATATCAAATAAAATTTAATCATAATTATGATCATTTAGAATAGCTGAAAACGTCACCTATTGATATATAATCACAACAGACTAGCTTACAAAGACGAAATAAAATTGTGTTATTGATACTTCATAAAGATATCGATTTTATAAATTATAGGTTCGAATTAGTTATGGGTAACATCGAGTAATCCTAAATCTGAACATAACTATTATTATTATCTTATAAGATTTTAAGAAAGGCCCTTAAAAACATTGCAAAAATGGGGTCTGGTTTTCAAAATGGCCCCGTTGCCCCCCCCCCCTTTCTCTGAATGGTCCTGAATATGGCACTGTATTATAATATTAACTAAGCACCCTATTGTAGGTAGTAACAATACTCGTATAAAATCATTCCGATGAATAACAATTCAATTTTTTATGAATAAAAACTATTGAATAAATAATTATTAGAATAATTTAGTATATTTCAGTAATGAATAATTTACTTACAATAGTTATGAATTATTCGAATAATCGTTAATGGTTGTTCTAAGGAACTATCAAATAATTCAATATTTATTATTCGTTGTCACCTATCACCAATATTATTAGTCTATTATAATATTATAATTATTCCATTTTTTTCCGAGAGCTCTGTGTGTCGGCCGTTTTTTGAATATTGACCGTCTTTTTTTATTTTTTCACCTTTTTTGTCGCATTTTTTTATCTAGTTGCTCAAGAAGAAAGTCGTTTATTAGATTTCCCGAGTAGTTTTCATAAAAAGTAGGAAAAACCGGAGTAAAAATGTAAAATGAAAACTAGTCAACTAATTAATGTCCACCTTTGCCTGTAGGTATGAGAAGCATTGTAACGATGTACAAAATGCCAGTAATGCTCTGGCGGTTTTTACCCTCCCACCTCGCTCCTCTAAGAAAACTTGGCTATGGCTGTTATCTATATGTGGTACAACATATTGTCAAGATTTATTTTCTTAAAAAACGAACATACTTCGCACGTGGGTGGGTTACTATTGTTGGTGAGAGGTTTGGGAAGATAGAGGGGAAATTTAATGAATATATGTATGCAACGATTAACCATTAATAACGAAAAACGATTCTGAGCGGAGATCGGTTAATAGTATTGATTTTTCAACAATATACATATCACATTATGGTGAAATAATTATATTTGCATTACATATTCTCTTTAATAATATTTGTTTAATATTGTATTTATTTTCCCGGTTTTTACAATGGTTTTCCCATTTGTTGGGAAAACTTCTGGGAAAATCAAAAAAATGGCCTTTCTAAAGTACCATCCTAGTCAGATTTCTTTTCAAAAAAATTGCCATCATTGTAAATTGGAGCTAAATTGCTGTTAGAAAAATTGGTAATAGGAAAAAAAAAATAGCTGTAATATTTGTTTTGATATCTACATTTCGTACATTTTTTTGTTTTCCCTTCGTTTTTTCCCGATTTTCTAATTTATTGGAAAAAATCCTAGGAAAATCAAAAAATGAATTCCCTAATGTATCACCTCAGGAAAATTTCCTTTCAGAAAAAGGGCTATACTTAATACTTCAGACCCAGATTTCTGATAGGACTTTTGTACAGTATAAAAAAAATAATAATAATTAACATCTGTGTAAAGCCAATACATTTTTTGCTACACTCAGAATTTAAAAATGTACCAACGTTATTAATATTATAATAACGAGCTATAATTCATTACAATAAGAGAATTTAATAAATTAAAAAAATATTAGAAAATAGAGAACTGTGTGAACGCCGTATTTATACCAAGTATGTTTACCAATTATACAGTAAAAACTATCACGAAAACACGTCTAGAATTTTCAATAGATAATAGACTCCTATAACAAATTGTGAATGAGGCGATGTTCCCGAAGAGTCGGAAAACTGAGGAAATCTATCAATTTATCATTCATCATCATCAAATCACCGTCTCGTAAAAATACTATTTTTTAGCGTTTAGAATACATAATTAAATAAATAAAAAACAGCTGTCCTAGAATAATGAGGTCGGTTGCAGCCCCTGTTGTAAGTAATTTAACGTATACCTGTAAACAACAAAAAAAAACCATTGCTAACGAAAAAACGATTCTGAGCGGAGTTCAGTGATAGTAATGCTTTGTCAACAATATATGTCACATTATGGTAAAACAATTAAATAGGTTTTATATATTGTCTTTAACAATATTTGTTTAATGTACCGATTTTTCCGTTTTTCAACGTTTTTCCGGTTGTCTCATGCTTTTACCCGATTTTTCACATTTGCTGGGAAAACTCTTTGGACATTTTAAAAATGGCCTTCTTAAAGTACCTTCCTAGCCAAATTTCCTTGTGCTATCATTGTAAATCGGAGCAAAATTATTTGTAGAAAAGTAGTCCAACGAAAAAAAAAAGTCCGGAATATCTTTCGATTTTCCCAGGAGTTTTCTTAACACAGGGCCTATTCTTGTGTGCAATACGCCACATTGTGTGTAATATCAAATCTGTTATGTGTAGTGTGAAATTATTAAATTTGTAGTATGGAATTATAAAATGCATAATGTTATAAGGAAATATTTCCCCACCTACAACAGTGGCTGCACCCACATGCGAAATATGTACGTCTTTTTTAATTATGATTTTATCATAGTTTGATGTACATCATATTGTCATAGGTATCACATGTAGTCTATTATGATTATAATAAATTAATGCGATCATCAATCATAAGTAAATTTTATTTATGAACCAATCAACGTATAATTAGGTCTTGACTCGTGTGTCTAAAAAAATCGTTATGTACCATAGACTTGACAAGTAAATATATAATGATGTCATCAGTGGCGTATTTAGGATTTTGTCTTGGGAGGAGATATGATTTTATCCAGTAATATAAGAAACTTAATAATGTTTCCATGATGTTTCCATGTAATTTAATAACTTATTAACATTGTATAATGTTTTATTAAAACAAAATTCAATACCTATTACAAATAAAATGTTACAATACGAAATCTGATTTTCTTAATTTTTACCGTCGTTAAATCACTGCTATCACTCCAGATGTCAATAGACTATAGTCGCGGAGTGTTCCGCTAACAAAATTGATATCTGAAGAACTTATAATTTAGTAAAAATTATTATTATTATATTAGGTATCCAAGGAATGTGAGCACTCAAAAGTGCATAACACACGGGAAACGTGTGCATAGCTTCATTGTATTGTACTTTTGCTCTGCTCTAATGTCTAGGTATTGTTTAAGACAACCATACAATAATAACACGACTAATAAATATTGTAGAATATTTGAAATGAGAAAACGAAAAGTGATTACGGACGACGGCTACAGCTTCAAAAATTCAAAATTGATGCTGGATAAGTGGATACATAAAATATAATTTATCATAATGTTGTGTAAAACGATGAGACCCGCACAGATATATAAAACGGCCATGGGTACCTTCCTGCGAGCCAATTTTTATTTGAGAGTGGTTGATGATCACATTACATGGAGGTATACAATTTATAGTTTAGAATGTTGGCAACTCCATTGTAGTGAACTTGTTGTCTTATCATTTTACTGACAACTAGAACCATAGATAATGTAATATATTATCAATGACAAGAACACTCGTTTTTCACCACTGATAGAGCTACTACATGATAAACGCGTACTACAAGTTGAAGATAATTATTAACGATTGCTAAGTAGTAATGTGTGTAAAATAAAATTCTTGTACAATTTGCTAAAATGAGAGTGATCGAATTCTTCAGTGGTATTGGCGGGATGCATTTCGCTCTCAAAGGTATTATATAATAATAAATTAATCAAAAATGATTTGGTGCAACAATATATTGTTTTTCTCAGAATGCGATTTGAACAATTTTGAAGTCGTATTGGCTGCAGATGTGAACACCGTGGCCAACACGGTTTATAGACATTTTTTTCCGACCACTAACCTTAAGGATTTGAACATATTGTCACTTACCACTGAGCAGTTCGACGCTTACTGTCCAGACGTGCTGTTAATGAGTCCACCGTGTCAACCGTTCACAAGGCGAGATCATTGAAATCATTTGTACCAAAATCTAAAAAGATGTTCGTATAATCAAATTAATTGAATACTTATATTGATTTTTATTTTTTTCACATATTTAGAAATGGTCTCGTCAAAGACATAGATGATGAGAGAACCAAACCACTCTTACATATTATTGAAAACATAATCCCAAAATCACAGTCTTTGAAATATATTCTAGTTGAAAATGTTAAAGGTTTTGAATGTTCATTGGCTAGAGAAAAATTGATTTCTGCTTTGAATCAGTCCAATTTCACATATAGAGAATTTCTACTTAGTCCAATACATTTTGGCATATGCAACTCTAGATTGAGATACTATTTGTTGGCCAAAAAAAAACCATTGGATTTTATTATTCCCTTGACAAACAATATAGTAAGTTTATTTTCAAGTAATAAATATCACATTGGTAACATTTGTGAAAAATAAATTAAATTACTCAAACAGACTAGCAGTCAAATACCAAAGCTAAAGATAGAAAATTAAACTTTGTTATTAACTTATTACCATTCATGTCCAAAAAATGCCATACTTGTAATATATATTATCTTTTTTAAATATTTGCCATACTAGGGTCGTACAACTTTTAAAATTATTATATTCATTGTTTTCCTAATAAATGCCAGATTAATTGATTGCAATTTAATTGTACTACCAATTACAAAATTGAATAATTTTAACTTTTAAACATAATATATAATTTTTATAGATTAGTAAAAAATTAAATTTAAAAATATTTTATCATAGAAGTCAAGTAGTTTAATAGTATAGATTTTATGAAATTTTCAATATTAGTGTATATAACATGTTTTAAAAGATATTTTTTGAAACATAAAAAAAAAATGGAAATTCATTAACTACATGACATTAACATAATATTTTCTGATACAATTATTAATTTTTTTTATTTATAGATAACTGAAAATCATTGGGATGATAAATTATGTGATCGTGTAACACAAGTTTCAGATGTACTATGTAATCCTGATACAGACCTGAAAGAATATTTGTTAAGCGACAAACAACTGTTAAAAGGCTGTAAAGCAGTGGACATTGTCACTAAATCGAGTAAAAGATCGTGTTGTTTCACTCGTTCGTACAGTTCATATTTGTGTGGTACTGGGTCTGTGTACTCGAATTTGTGTGACGAAGAAAATATTAAACAAATAATTAATGAAAACGATGACAATTTAGAAGTACTGAAAAGTCTGAAATTGAGATTTTTTACCCCAACAGAGATTTCAAAATTTATGTGTATTCCTATATCTGATTTTCCAGTTAGTAATAAAAAAGCATACCAACTCCTTGGGAATAGTTTAAATGTTTATGTTGTTTCTCGATTATTGTGTTTATTATTTAATTAACTGTACAAAATGTGAGTAATATTAATTTTATATATAAGGTGCATTATCTTATTATATTTTATTGCATATATATATAGAGAGAGAGAAAAATAATAGATTATACATTTTATTATAAATATACAAATGAATTAACTTTTTATTTTGGAAAACTATAAAACCATTACTTTTATTTTTTGTCGAAAAAAAAATATAATTATTTACATTTTATATGAACATAGTTTCAATAAATTGTATTAATTCATAACAGAAATTGTTTATAAATTATATTATTCTATTTAGTAATACATTTTTTATATTTATATTGTAACCATGGATTCGAATATATAAGACAAAATCTATAATTATTTTCATAGATTGGATTTTCATTAAATAACACAATTTGTTGAGAGGAGCCAGTGACTATTTCCCCTCGAAATTGGAATTGGTTACAAAATGATTAAATTTGTTTGGTTTCACGGACAACACTGGTTACAAATCGGTCATAAAATTTTGAGACCATCTCGGATAGACAGTGACTTCATCATTCGTTCCAAATTATTATTTTTCCTTGTTAAACCATCAGTGTGGTGTCCAGAACATGTTATCATTATTATCGTAGCCATTTATGTTGTTGCTGTCGCACAAAATAAGTCTTCTTATTATTTTGCAATAATAGGAGGGGGTAAGTCTTCTATAAATGATATAAGTTAAATGGTACCAGTAACTAATTAAAATTTATTACCGATCCACAAATTGTTAGTAATGTGGTAGTATTAAATGTAGATGGTACTTAAAAAAAAAAAAAAAAAATACAACACTTATAAATTAATATAATTTGTTTAAACATGCGATTGAACAATGAAAATATTGATTAAGCGGTTTTTAATTTGTGAAAAGGCGTAAGAATGTCTTTGTTTTGTATATACAATATTATTTATAAACCAATTTAGTGAATATTTTCTTAATAACATGACTATTACGAAAATTAAAATTAAAACTTTAATAATTTTCAAATGTCTGGCTTTAAACATAAATGGTAGTAAATCGTAAATATTTATGAAACTATTGAATGAGATTATTTAAGCATATATTTTTATTATTATATTTTCACATTGAAATTGACTGTCCTAACATATAATAATTGAACGTAACAGTAATGTAATTCTCTTATATTACATATCAGTCTGTAATAATATTGTAATTTCATTGTTTTCCGAGAGCCTTTTGCGTGTCGGCTGTCTTTTGAATCTTGGCCATTTCTTTTTCTATGAAAATAAAAAAAAATTATAATAAAAATAGACAAATATGTAATAGGTAAATTTGACAATAATCTGTAACATTATTTTCTTCACCAGAGTAATATTTTTTTAAACTATGGCCCATGGGTCTGTGGTATTATCAGTGGTTCCAATTTATAGATGTTCAAAAAGTAAAAAAAAAACAATGTAATTGTTTAAAAGAAAATTTGCAAGTCTATGGAATGAAAAGTCTTTCATCAGGGGTCTACATACTATAATAATTTTAAGACCACTGTAATAAAGTAATATTAATACAAATAAAAAAACAAAAAAATTATTACCTTTTTTCTCCTCTTCTCTCTTTTTTGCAGCTTCTGCACGTTGTTGTTTTATGATTGCTAATCGGGCCAAATCTGCTCTGGCTTCTTCAGTTTTACCTTCAGCTTGTAATTTTTGATAATGCAGTTTTTTCTTTTCTCTCTCTAATTCTTCTCTGAGAATATTAATCAACAATAAAAAATTAGAAAATACATATTATTTATGTTTAAATATATAAAATAAATTTATCAACTTTTCGCGCCTAGATAATTGAGCTGGTTCAGCAGTATTCAATGTTTCATTAAGTGTAGCTAATTTCTTTGACTTTAACTGTCTCCTATTTGGATTCTCAATTTCAATCAATCCAGCAACACCCTTCTTTTTCTAAAATAAAAAAAAAATTAAAAATCAGAACACTGTTTAATAATAATTAAAACTGGGTTCTCAAATATTAGCCACGAGTCATACAGATAATTGAATAGTACATAGCTGATCATGCACAACCAAAATGTATATTATCAAACAATATAATGTATAATGGACAAAGCATGAATTTTAACTGTTTAATCCAGTAGTAGAATAATAATAATAATAATAATGGCTATTATCCATAGTACACTTACGTGATCTGATAAAAATGTTATTATATTAATTTATTTTGAACAGCATAAAAATAACTACAATGACCAATACATAACAAGGAAAACAAATGGGAAAACGATTGCAAATCATTAGACAAAATGAAAAAGTGACAAAAAAAATATTAAATTAAAACATACATCGTCAGAATCTTCATCGGATTCGCTTTCACTTTCCGTCTCATCCTCGTTATTGCTCTTATCCCCTTTAGTGGCTAGTTTTTCATCTTCCGACGAAGATTCATCTACGCCTCTATTATTCCTTCTCAACGATTTTTCTTGTTCTTCTCGTTTTCTCTGTTCTTCGAGTTCGTCAGGATTCGTAAACCTGCGACTCCTTCCTTTGTGATTAGTCCATTTACCTGATGAGTTGATAAAATACAAAAATATATGCATTAATAATATTTACTTTGTTATGAAATCAGCTCGAACAAAAGAATATCGTATTGGTCGCTGTCCGGTTGACACGGAAGTCAATACATACCTCTGGGCATTTTGAAATTGACGGTGGATTTCTTAAACTATAGACGAATTGAATAAAATTTGGATTCTAAATTAACAAATTACCTAGACAAAATCTATTTGGTAACGTGAGGTTGATATTTCAAAACTATTTTGGGGGACGAGTTGACGACGGCTGTTTCAAAATAAATTTATCAAAATATTGACGTCGATGATAAAATTAAATTGGATAGTAATTTTCCAAATGTTGCATCAGATTCGTCTTGGAAGAGAATAACAACGGCAAGGAGTACGTAGATCGAGTACAGGGTAGTTATCATAAAAATTTATAAGAATAGAGATGCAATCATTTTTTCATTCGGGGTGTTACCAACGTAAAACAACCAATAATCTGCATATGTAATAATTTAACGCTCGTAAACCTTGTACAATAAATTATGTATTCACCTTGGTTATTTATGGTTATTAATGATCCAGATTTAGAATGGGTTCGAGTTAAAACTTTAGGGCAATCATCACCAACTAATTTGGTTGTTAGTTCACGAACAATGAAGCCAGCAATACGTTCAATAATATCATCAGTTACTTGCTGTAAACAAGTAAATTGATTCTCAAATACTCGTAAATTTATGAGTTTGTAGTTGCTCGGAAAGATAAGAAAAACATGTCTAGACATTATTGCTTAATGAATCCTGACCTTGCAACATGTAATCGTGATCAATCAGACGTTCCGTCGTACAAAATTTATTACAATATATACATGCGCGAATTATTTTCAAAAGAAAATAGACGCACAAAAAAAATAAATACATTATCGATGGTTTATTTTCTGATAATGAAAATGTCTGCGCAAACGACATTTTGTTGTCCAACGTTGGCAACACTTCGCACCGAATCGGATGGTGGGGGCGGGAGGGGAAAACCTCCCGTCGATTTTCCGACGAATGCCCAATAAAGCCCACGCCGGTCGTGAGACGCGGCGACACCGACAAACCGAGCGACGCGGAACACGCGGGGCGGCCGACGGTTGCCAGGGCGTCCGTTTGTTTGTGAAAACGGTCAATGACGCTAACAACGTTGTCGTGGGGAATAAGGCACGGAACGCGGCCACCGGAGAAATCCCAATGTAAACAACATTACGCCGTCGACCCGTTACCGCGTGACGGTCGTGTCTGTTGTTATTGGTCACCCTCCCACCGCCCCCTCCGCCACGCGGTAATTTCTCAACAGTATCGATACGCGTTTCGGCGGCCGGCCGGTACTCGTGTGCCTCTCTGCCCGTCTGTAAATACGAATCCGCGTGGTACCAGAGTAAAATTGCCGTCGCGGATCGCGGCCAGCCCCGCAAACCGCCGGCAATCGCGTTGCCGGACAAATGTATTCGAATTAAAAGTCGGTAGAGAACAGAAATAAAAATAACCACCGCGCTCCTGTCAAATTAACTCGTAAGTAACGCGCCGCGACGCACGGTTGAAACGAACGACAATCGCGCGAACCGGAACGTGTCTCGTAGGAGACTCCGTTCTGAGCGCGGTGGTCGAAGTCGGTCACGAACGCCGCACGATTCCTAAAACGGTTTGTTTTGGCACCAATTGACATGCCGCGCTCGGAACTCCCGGGGGTGTGTTTTTCTCTCGGTTCGATTGATACGCGAATATAAACGCATGGTAATCGGTTACGGTTTCCACGCGACGGCCGTAATACATTTCCGAGTTGCCGTCCCCGGAGAAAACCCTCGTCGTCGAAAACAAAAAGCAAAACGGACGTCTTCGCGTACAATCTACGCGCTTGACGATCGGATTCGTCGGCTTGTCGCACCAATCGACGAGAATTTTTTTTATCTCTATAGGAATACGCGGTGGGGGGGGGGAAGGGAAATGGAGACGTCTGATTGTTGCGTGGTCGTCTTCGTATTATAGACGATAACAGTAAATGGGTCTCGCTGTAAAAAATTGCGCACGATGGGCGTGTAGCAGTTTGTCGTTTCCGATGAAAATCGTCAATAACGCTGAACAATTGTAAATATTTTCGGTTTTTTTTTTTTTATTTTGACCGTGACTGCGAAAACTGCACGGTCAAACCGCGAACCACGATGAGTGCGCACTACAACTCGCCGTTCGCGTTTTTCGCCCGAGTCGCGCGCCATTTTAAAATATTGCAGCCGGTTACTTTTCCAATAATAGGTTCAGATTCAAATCATTTTTGCTTGATAAAAAGAAAAAAAATTTACCCGGCTTTTACGATTTGTCATTACTGGAAATGAAAAGTTCTGTTTGTTTTAGTATCTATATAGAATTACGGTAATCTTTTAGAATTCTGAACGGAGTAACGAAAGTATCGGTTTTACAACGATGGTTATTTTAATTTTGTAATTTATTTCTGTGAACGACTTTTCTACCGGAAAATTTTATTCCGACTGTCGAGTATAGCGTTTTTCCGGAAAGAAATTTAACTGGGCCGACGCTCTAAGGATTTTTTTTTTTTTATAATAAACGGAAAAAAAATGTACATGTACGAAATGCATTATTTTCAAATCGTAAATATTACGGCGTTTCAAAACGAGTTTAGGGAAAAAAGCGATATATTTATTATTTTAATACTACGTATTATACGGTACCATATAATAGGTACCTACGCCATATTTCAATACCGCCGACTGCCGTATTATCAGAAAATAGTTTCAACGTTTTCACAACAATAATGATTGGAGCAAGTCACCGGAAACTACAGTCCGTAATCGAATGTAACAAAAATGACTACTGCTGTAGTGTAAATATTAAAATTCGGTGTACCTACTGTATGGCACTATATAAAACGTAGTACCAACCAATAATATGTGTAATATGCAAAATAAATCTATTGCTTTTATTTTTCCTAATCCCTTTCAAAACACGTGTAACCGAATTCTGCTAAAATTGTTTTTTTGCCAACAAAGATTAGTTGTTACGTATAGATATAGAATACGTTCAATTTCCCTCATTTCCCTCCTTCCTATCTTCCCAACTTCTCACCTACAACAGTGGCTGCTCCCGTCCGCGTCGTGCTAGGACATCTTTTGTTGTTGTGATTCGGTTGAAAATAATCATGAAGACCTGACATTTTCGGAGAATATATTTTATAATTGCGTTTTCTATGCGTCGACATATAACATATTATGGCGATTTTTGAACTAACTATTTATAGACATTTGAAATTTTCTAGATTTCATTAGTTTTAAGTTTTGTGTGAACCATGTCCGTATTTTTTTTATAATTTATCCTAAGATATTTGAGGTATGATTTTTGAAAATACCCATTTTAGGAAGTGTTCAACCCGTTTTTTGGACAGGGAAATGAAAGTTTAAAAACTAAAGGTTAATTCCATTCCACCTGTATTTATTTTTTTCCATAGTACTACTATTAAGATAAAATGGCAGACAGTGTCCCGGTCTCAGATGTCGTGTGCGTGGACGATATGGGCAAAGCCAGAGTTATGGAACCAGTGCTGGCCGATAAGGTGTCTGATCTGAAAGATCAATGTGCTGAATTTTTGGAAGGTATTAACAATAATATAATGGTTAGGTTAGATTTAATGTTAGGTTTATATATGCAGACATTGAACTCTATCGAAATGCAGTGGACAATTTTATCGGTGTCTTGGACAATTTAGCCACACAAATTGAAAGGGAGAAACGTGACGCGATCATAGTGTCAAACGAACTGGCGTCGCTGCCCATACGAACCGAACAACAAATGGCCACGTTACGGGTGAGCACTATAATTGATATTGAAAACTAATAATAGTTATTAATTGATAAATCAACTGATGATAATAACGGTCATCATATAGTCGCAGATAGAACAGAAAACTGTAGAGCTAGACCGCTACAGAATTGAACACAGGACGTTGCAAAAAATTGAATCGGAACAGACGGATTTGATAAATCGCTTGTCTTTCCAGAATTAAGAAGAATGATTATTTCACAACATTTATAGTTCAGCAAAATAAATTTGTAAATAAAATATTATAATACAATTTTTGTTGTTTTTATTGTTAAAATGATTAATCAATCGGTTCTTAACTATAATAATAATAATAATAATAAAAAATAATTCTAAAAAATAATTATGGTAAATGCATTTTTCATATAATAAATAAAAATATATATTTATATTATTATTATTATATATATATATATATTTTAATATTGGTGTTTTTAATATCAGTACGCGATTTTCACAAAACGACCCTTTGAACACGGGTACACAGATTATATATTATAGGTATTAATATAAAATAAAATATTATTTATTTTTATCTACACACGCGCGCGATTCTGTATAAAATTGTAACAATACAAAAAGAAAAAATATATATAATAAAATAAAAATACAAATTAGGGAATGTAACATTTGGACGTGTATTTTTTTTTTTTTTTTTTTTTTTTTTTTTTTTTTTATTAATATTATATAAATATAAAAAATGTAAATGGCATTAATAATATTTATTTTATGTATGGTTAATGATTCATGATTAATATAATATAAATAATAATTGTTGTTAGATAAGAAATAATTATTTTTGTACAAACACAAAACTAAAAAAAAAAAAAATTACATTGAATAATATAATAATTATAAATAAATAATAAATAATAACCATATTTTTTTTCAAAATTATTATTATAAAAAGTTTTTGTTTTAAAAAAAATAATATTTTACGTTTATGGTATATTTTGAATGCGGTCAGGTTAAGTATAATAAGCACAATATTCGTAATAGTAATGGATCATCAAATTTTTATCAAGCAGTAAATAAATACAAAAGTAGTAATTCATTTCCCCTGAGTTTTTAGGTTAATAATAAAAAATTCGGTTCATTTTTTTTTTGAGCCATATTTATCACACAACTCTTTACAATTGCGGTTTTATTTATTTTTTTTGTCATGGACCTGAAAAATGATAATAATATGACATTAGTATTGGTTGACTAAACAGACTCAATTATAATATCCTAAACAAATGTTGATGCTAAATACTTTATTATTATTAATATTATTAATATTGATTATCCGAGCGTTAGTCACGCTAGTGTTTTTTACGTTGCTATGCCCGATCTACACGCGGCTAATTTTTAAACTACTAGCTCGAAAAATAGAACTTCTTCATATTCATTTAGACTGTCTTTAGTTGTTAGGCTGATATCCAATATTCAAAAACTAACCTTGTGTAAATTGGGCATTAGTTCTGAGTAATTTTTTTCGACCACATAATAATTTTCAAGTAAAAACATGTTTAGATAAATCAATTTTTGCAACTTATATATATATTTATATTTTAATTTTACATCAAATGGATAGTACTAAATAAACAAAAAAAAACCAAGAATGTACAAGTTTTATTTAAATTTAAGACCAACTCATAAATGAAATTGTATTATAGAAATTATACAGACAACAAATATTAGATAGATAATAATACCCATAAAAAAAGATTAAAAAATTAGAATTCCATGGTGAAGTAAATTATCTGAGGTTACAAATAATATAAATGTGATTAATTTCATAGTAATTGTTACTACCATAACACGACTAACGCAGGATAAGTTGTACATGCTAACCAAAAATAATGTATTGTGTTTATAATATCGCTACTTAATGAGTGGTATACTTAAACCAGCTGAAATTAACAATATACATTATTGTTTCTGAACAATAATACAAATTATTAGAATAGTCGATATTTTTTTTTAATTATTAAGATTAATCATTTAACCAAATACCATATTGTTAGACTAGATAATAATAATTATTTATTATTAAATAGAAATTAGAAACTACAAAGGTTAAAGGTAATTATTTCTGAAAGATTCAATAATATTTAAATAGTTTAAATTATTATATATATATATTTAATTTTTTCAGGGTTACTTTTGTTTTAAAATACAAATCAGCAGCTACTTTCCAAATAATTATTGTTTTATACAAATAAAATAAATTGTACATAATAAAATAAAAATATGGGGTGTAATATTGTTTAGTGACAATTATTTTACTAATTAATCAACCTCTCTGAGTTCCATTATAGATTGTAAAATTATGCAATTATTAAACATAACCAAAATGTATTTTCAATGTAGCTGCTGCTTTAAATATAATATAATAAGAATAAGAATTAATTTCCATATCGTCGGTCTAAATTGTAAAGGCTGTAACTCCAATTTTTTTATGATTTTGTTATTTATTACAATTAAACTACAAAAAAAAAAACCATATTGTTAGACAAAGTCATAGCACTAATCTTGTAATTATTCCACAAAATTGATAAAAGAAATTTTCAGAGTTGAACCTATGTTAAATTAGAAACGTTTTTCTTCATCTAGAAAATTTGGAGTTACAACCTTTGCGATTTATACTGATGATATATATATATAAATACAGTTGGCTCTCAATAATTCGTAATTAGGGGGACTTATGAAAAATTACAAATTACTGAGTTTTGAAAATGTTTTTTAATATTTTTATTATAATTATTAAATATTTCAGCAAATTAGGCGGTATACCAGCTTTCGAAGAGTTAAAATATGATAAGAGAGACGATTAAGAAATAAAATGCTTACAATAAAGTATTTATACGATAACAATTCTATAACTATCGAAATTATTAATAAAATAACAAAAAAATTATAAGAAATACATTTGGTGAATATACTTTGAATTGCTGAGCATTGAACGGATGAAACTTCGAATATTCACGTGTTAATGACCAGTTTTCTCAAAATTTAATTTTAAATTACCAAGTGTAAATTAATTTTTTTATTCGAATTACCAAAAGATTTTCAAGAGAACAAGCATTTACTTTTAATAACCGAAAGTTTCGAATTATTGAGAGTCTACTATATACATATATTTTCCCATGCAGGAATAAACTGGGTTTTTTTTTTTTTGTATATGATGAAAATTTGTAAACAGTGATATTAAAAAAAAAATATCACAATTGCAACATTTAATAATTTAGGCAGTTTTTTAATGCTAAGAAGAAATTAGTGGGGTTGGAAATAAAGAGGATTTTTCAAGTGCATTCCCTACATACCATTATTTATTTAGTTTTTGATTGAAAAGTAATAATCTTGAAAATTTAACGAGACCACATGTCTTCGGCACCTAAATATTGGAATATTAATTTACACCATCGACTTGACCATGAGAAGGATAGAAAGATAAAGAAGAATACAAAATATATATAAAAATTTAACTTTTAACTATTGTTGTTGTTATAGTCTCACCCAAAGAATTTGTATCGTTTGATCCATTATTTGACTCAAGCGAGTCATCTAAATTTCCATGTACCGTTAAATCATCAATTGTTGAGCCTCGTTTACTACCAGACGAACCCATTCTGGAAGACGTGGTTACTCCAGTTCTTCTGAACAAAGAAAACAGCAGCAGTTATAGCTTATGATTTTACTACTAAAATTATTAATATGCAATTTACCTAAGTTTGCTTCTCAAATTATTGTTCTCCCTGGATATTGATTCATTTGATTCCAAAAGTTCATCGAGATCACGTTGAATTTTTCGTTTCTGTTGTTTCTCTCGGCTGATTTCTTCTTCTGCGTCTTCAATTTGCCTTTTAAATGTTTTAACTCTCGCGTTAAGCTAAAAAAGAAAAATCCAAAATTATTAAATAAACATAATTTTCTATTTAATTTCTAAATGTATACCTTTTCTACTTGTTCTTTATATTGGTCATTTGTTCTTCTTTCATCTTCTAATTGCATTAAGATTTCTTTCATCTTTTTTTCCAATTTGCGATTGGCCTTTTGTTGCAATTGTCTGTCCCTAATTAAAAATAAAGATGAAAAACATAAAATAATAAAAAAAAAAAAATCTTTATAGCTTTACTCATTACATATTTTTTTGTACACATACTTGACTTCAGCTTCCAATTGTTCATTTGCATTCTCAAGTTTAGATTCCAAGTTTGCAATGGCAGCTTTGGTTTTCACTCGTTGAGTAGTTTCAATTTCTGCCAGTTTGGCTTTCAGTTCTTTATTTTGCCTGTCTAATAACATTCTGTTTGTCTCCAATTTTTGAGATGACGATCGTTCATTGGCCAAGTCTAACATTTTAAATAAATAAATAAATAAAATTGTAAACATGTATAAAAAAAAGTTATATTTACCAGAATTTAATTGCTCAATTTGTATTATTGCTTTTCTACTACGTTCATTTGATGTTTCCAAAGCAGTTTGTTCTTCTTCAAGTTCTTCTTCTAATGTAGCAATTCTTGCTTCCAGGCGGCGTTTTTCATCAACCATTAATGTACTGCTAACAAAATAAAACTACAAATAAAAAAAACCTCAAACTTATATTATAAAGTGAAAGTAAATACAAACCCTTTGTTGGAGTTACTATTCATTTCTTCAAGGAGATCATCACGTTCACTTTCTGCTACACGTCTAGCTCTTTCAGATGCAGATAATTCTTCAGTTAACAATAACAATTCAGCTTCAACTGATTTCAATTTACGTTCAGTTTCTTTAGAATTAGCTGAAAGCTCATCTCTAGAAGCCCTTGCTTCTTCAGCGTCACGTGTCGCATCCTTCAACTGAATTTGTAGTTTTTTCAGTTGTTTTAGAGCATCTTCTTTCAATTTGTTGTGCATGTCTAATTGCTGTTCTAAATCTTTGTAATCAGCCTCAATCTTCTTACGACCAGACATTGCGGTGGACCTCTGTTTGCGTTCATCTTCTAGTTCGGCCTCAATGTCACGAATTTGTTTCACAAGCCCTCGGCGTTTTTCTTCGCTCTGTTCTTCTTTAGCCTAATAAAAGTTAACACACATAGAAGAATTAGTGAAATTAATATATTTTAATAAACAGGATAAATTATAGTGTTAACATTATAATAGTAGGCTTACAACAAGATCGCGTTCAAATTGAGCTCTCAATGCTTGCATGTTAACTTCAAGTCTTAATTTAGCATCTTCAGTAATTTGAAGTTCATCTTCTAAATCTTCATTCTGTATGCGGATTTCGGCTAACTGTGACTCCAATATTCTCTTTGCTTTTTCCAACTCATGTACCTGAACAAAAATTTATTACATATTATGCTTGTCAATTTATCAATTAAAGTTGAGAACAAACATTTTTATCTGCTGTTCCTTGACTGTTAATTAGTTCATCCAACTCATTTTGAAGAGTTCTCTTTCCTCTTTCTAATTCTTCAACTTTTACCATCAGCTCATCAAGTTCTCTGGTCAATGAAAGCACACGTGTTTCCTTTTCTCGGGCTTCACGTTCAGCAGTGTCACGTTCAATTACCATTTGCTCAGAAACCGCCTGTTAAAAATATTTACAATAAATAAAGTTTTAATTTTAATTTTATTTGTATCGTGCAATCAAACTAAATATAATGATAACTATTATTATTTTTGTACTGTTTTACCTTTTCTTCTGCCAGAGTTTTGTCAAATATTCTCTGTTTTTTCTCGAGCTCAATAACCTTGGCTCGTTGAGCTTCTAAATCAATATTAATATCATCTAATTCTGATTGAAGTTTCTTTTTAGATTTCTCTAATTTATCATTAGTTGCCTGTAATTCTTCTATTTGGCGTTGTAAAACTTCCACATCCTAAATAAACAATATATAGTCAATTAAATACTAATTACTATGGATTGAAATATTATAGCATTTATACAATAGGATTAGAACTAAGAAAGAATAGATTCACCAAAACTAGAGTCAAATATGATCCTAATAAGGATTTCAAGATTTACCTGATTGAAGGTCTTAATAAAATCAATGTAAATAGTGTCAACTTGAGAATATTGAACAATTTTAATGATTCAAAAGAAAAAATCGAACACAAAATTACAAGGCACAAAACACATGGTAATCTTTTATCAGAGATGAATTCACTAATGACTGTAAGTTCTTTGGTCAAACTTATATTTCAAATATTTTTATTACATGTAATTGATCGGCAAAAGGAGGAGAATAGTTTACCACTTTAGATGACTTTTAATAATGAAAATAAAGACAGAAAAATACCTTTATCTAATGATTTACTAAATAATAACCCAAGTAACTACTATAACGTATGTCATAAATTGAAAAGGAAGTCACTCGGTATACCATTAGGTCCAGAAAAATATTTATAAAATATGAAGATCAAAAAGTGAAATTTGGAGATAGGATTTATGACTTACCTTGATGATCTTTTTATAAGAAGATTCTATAGCAGCAGTTTGTTCAGCTTCTTCTTCCATTTTTTTTCGGCATTCAGTGATTTGTAAATTAAGAGCGACTATTTGTTTTTCCATGTTTTTCTTGGACTCTTCCTCTTCTTCCAATTGTTCTTGCAAAACTTCCTTTTCACTTTCGATTTGCTTCAATTTTGAGTTCAATGATAATTTCAGTTTGGTTTCTTCTTCAAGGAGAGCCTATTGAAAAAAAAAAAAAAGAATTATTACTTTAAATATGTATACAATACATACACATTAAAATTTCATGTAACAAAAACTTCTTTCTAATAAAATATTTTTGAAACCATATAGACCTTTATTGTTAATTATAAGTAGGACCTATGCCCTATAAAAATTAACAAAATGTTCTGAAAATATTTTCAAAAAAAAAAAAAAAATTTTTTTATTATTTTATTATTTATTAAATGTTTATATTTTATATTATTTAACTGCAAATGTTTTAAATGGTTGATGAAAAAAAAAAAAAGATGTGGAATTCGATATTTAAATTTTTCTTGTCTAAAAATCAAACAAAAATATTTTATTTTATAATACAAACGAAACAATACATTTTAATGATAAAACATTTTCTTGCTTACTCAATGCATCCAAGAATATTGTGTGATATTGTTATATGATTAGTTATTGTAACTTAATCTATTAAAGTATTCAATAACAACTTATAAGAGTAAAACTAATTCATATTTTATCCAAAACACGGAAACACGGATACCTTATATATTATCAGCTGAATTCTAATATTTATAAATCTTGAAAAATAATTATGTGATTTTTTATTTGTTGAGTTGAAAATGTCTCAAAAATATATGAAATCTTAAATATGCTCAAACTGTACAAAATCTTTGAAATGTGCAAAATAAAATGTGCTTTAGAGAATTGTTAGGTCATGTAACAAATTTTGGTATAATCTAGTAAATTTTTTGACCAAAAATACAAATAAGCAAATGTATACAAATGTCGACGCTAATGAGTAAAATTATTATCTATATATAATAAATAAATCTGACTTTTCAATTAAATTAGTTGATAACAAACCTATTAAAAACAAATATCAAAATGTAAACATGTTAGTAAAAGTTTTTGAGATAAATTTTTTATTTTTAATGAAGTCACTAAATGTATTAAAAAAATTCTGTCTTCTGACTAGTTATCTTTCATCCATATTAAAAAACTTGAAAATAAAATTAAGCAAGTAGATCAAATAATCTCTTCAGCAATAGAAACTGAATGAGAGTATGTATTAATGAAGAAGTTAACAAAATTTGTATTTTTAAATGGATTACTTGTATATACATGAACATAATATGTCAATGTATACAATTTAATCTTACAAACATGCAAATAATCAAATTAAAAAATATATATATAATTTTAATAAAGAATTTTATAAAAGAATAATATTAGAGAATTATATAAATCATTTTTTTGTTTCCCATGAGATTGTTACATTTAAATGTTTCCGTATAAAAAAAAACATTAAATTATTTTTTAAAATGTACCTGTGTTTCTTGCAATTGAGTTTCCATTGTACCAGCTGATTTTTCTGCAGTGGAAGCTTTGAGTTCTGCCGCTTCCAATTGATTAACAATGGATTCAGACTCATTACTGAGTTTGGAAAGTCTATCGAGCAATTCATTTTTAGATCTTTCTGATTCCGAGAGTTTACTCTGTGTCTCACCTAAAAAGAAAAAACACAAAACAATTATTTAGTACGAATATAAATTAACAGTTTCTGGGTACTCACTAAGTTGAGATTCAGCAATTTTACGTTTCCTCTCCAATTCAGATTTGGAAGAAGCAGAAGATTTTAATTCAGCAGCAAGGTCTGCATTTTCAGCTTCAAGAGTTTGTTTGGTTTTTTCCAATGAACTTTTAGACTATGGAATGATAATTGAAATATTATAAAAATAGAAATACAAGAGAAATTATATGTATGGTTTAAATCTATACCTTTTTCAAGGATTCTATTTGTTCATTTATGACTGATATTTCTTGACTGTGTTTGTGCCGCATTTCAGTAATGGTGATTTCGTGAGATTGTGTATCTTCTTCTAATGATTTTTTTAAGGTTGCCAATTCCTAATAGGGAAACCAAAATATTTAAACATATACATATATACAAACATACATAAAGGTTATTTTAATACATAGGATTGGTTAAGAATGTGAACTGATAAAAAATGAAAGGTACTATATTAGAATAGTATACCTGCTCTCGTTTAGCTCGAAGTTCGTGTTGTGCTGCTGTAATGTCCAAAGAATCCAATAGTTCATGCTTTAAAGCTTCAAGTTCTTCGTTAAGGTCACGTTTCTGTTTTTCTGCTTTGCTTCTCGCCGAGCGTTCAGCTTCCAGATCCTCTTGGAGTTCACCAAGTTGTGATTCCAATTCTCTAAGAGCCTTTTGAGATTGAGCTTTGCCTAGTAAATATTAATCATATATTAATAAATTGTATTAACACAAAACAGAAACAGAAAATACAAAATTTAAACATACTGGCAGCTTCTTCATCGATTCTCATAAAAGCTTGGGTTAATTCTTCTTCTCGTTTACCAAGTTGCAACTGTAAGTCTTCAACTTGAGCTTTCTTTTCATTTAATTGTTCTTTTAAATCATTTACCTGAACATGATTGGTTAATGTTTTAGATACATATAAAGTTTTAAAAAATTTAAAATTAAAACACTAATTTGCTTACTTCGGTCTCGACTTTACGTTTAGTACGATCCATCTCTTGTCTCTGTTGATTATCTTTTAATAGTCTTTCTTCCAATTCAGCTATAGATGTTTCATGTTTTGCTTTTAACTTAGCTAAGTGTTTAGCTTTTTCTTCTTCTTCAGCTAATGTCTGTGCCAAGTCTGAAGCTCTTTCTTCCAAGACCTTTTTTTCTTTAGCTATTTTTACATTGGTATCTTCAGCAAGTGCAAGATCTTCTTCTAATTTTTTTAGTTTAGCATCAGTTTGCACACGTTCCAATTGTAGTTTCTGTCGTGCTGCTTCTTCTTCTTCCAATTGTTCTTCCAAATCCTTTAATTAATACAAATAAATCAAATATAAAGATAACATTATTATAATTTTTTAAACAATTTTTATTGTCTGGTACTAACATTTATGTTGATTTGTAACTTCCTTTTCTCTTGACCCAATGTACTAGACCTTTCTTCTTCTTCTTCAATTCTAGCTTCTAAATCGTGCAGTATTTCTTCGAGCTCTAATTTTCTGGCAGCAAGTCTAGCTCTCATTTCCTCAGCTTCAGCACACAGTTCAACTTCCGCCTGTAGTTGTTCAGCCAAAGCATTTTTCTCATCAACAGCTGTTTGATATCTAAACAAAATAAAATATTAAATTAGAAGTGAAACCTTTACAATATATTATATATTAATATCCCTCATTTTATTTCTATAGAGATGAACAAATTTATAAATATAGCATAGTTGTATTGTTTCTTTGGTTAAGTATATTGAAAATGTAGTACACTTTAGAAAATATTTTTTTGATAATCCAACCTAACCAATGATTAATAATTTGTGCCTCAAAATTGGCAGAGATCAACTATATGAATATAATACATACTTCTTCTCAAGTTCAACAACACCACGGTGTTGAGATTCCAATTTTTCTTTGACTACCTTTAATTCTTCTTCTTTAATGGACAGTACTTCCTCTTGTTTAGTGACTTCTAACAACGGTTTGACTTTAGTGTATAGTCGCCACCATTGCCAGTTCCTCAATTTCAAGTATGCTGAACAGTTTCGCTGAATAATACGAATAGCATTCAATTGTTGTAAACGTTTTTGATAATTTCTTCTCGCCAAATATCCTCTGCAGAAAGCCTAAAATCAAACGATACATAGTAAACTAGATATTATGTATGTATGTAAAAACATGTAAAAATACATACTTGGAAGTTAACAATCAAGTCTGAAATTTTAAAGTCTCTTTCTTCTTCCAAATGGGCAAGTACACCGGCTCTGAAGAATATTTTTGATTGACCCACACGATATAGATTGGTATCGAGTTCAAGAGCATTTATCATTTTTTCACAAGCTTTTTTACCGTCCATGAAACCTTTGGGTATAGCATTTGAAGTGAGCAGTTCATAACGCTGTCTGAACTCCTGGAATGGAATACGATTGGGGAAACCTTGTCTACAAATCCTAATTCCTTCCAACACCCCATTGCAGCGAAGCTGGTCTAGTACAAGCTGAGCGTCAATTTTACCGGCTCTTTTTTCATGGTTTGGGATAATACATCTCACAAAGTTAGGATTTGTGTTCCTAAGGGTGATCATTAATTTGTTCAATTGTTCTTTGTACAATTGTGATACTGTGCGGAACATTCCTTTTCTTGTACGTGCTCCAAATTGAGTGTCAGTTAAAGCTTGATGAGCTATACCCACAATCTCAGCGTCCTTCCAGATATGACCGACAAAGGGATCTTGAGATGTTTGAAGAAGCTGAACGATATTTTCATTTAATGGATCCATGTTTTTCATTAGCCATTTATGGGCAGAATAATCAACTTTTCCAGCATAATGAATTATCGAGAAATCAGCAACTCCTCTAAAATCTGTTTTGTGGAATTTTGGATGAACACTTTGGGCAGACATCAATTTTTCAACAAACGATTTATCTGTAGCTTTTGGGAACCAACACTCTTCATCCAATAATGCCATTACACCCATAGGCTATAAAACAAACAAAAAGTTAACAATTGAATTAAATTAAATAAACGCAATTAGAAATATGGAATCCATACTTTGTCAATTAAATCAATAGTGGGTTGTAGATCTAATCCAAAATCAATGAACTTCCATTCAATACCTTCTCTTTGATATTCTTCTTGTTCCAAAATGAACATAGTATGATTGAAAAGTTGCTGCAATTTCTCATTGGTATAATTTATACACAATTGTTCAAACGAGTTCAACTAATAAAAAATGAATTGATATTAAATAATAGAAAAAAACAAAATAAACAAATATTAATAAATTACTTCAAAAATTTCAAATCCAGCCATATCTAAAATTCCAATAAATGAAGCCCCTTGTCTTTTCGATCTATCTAATGATCGATTAATTCGGTTAACAAGCCAACGGAACATACGCTCGTAGCATGCTTTAGAAATGGCTTCCACTGCGAATTCCACTTGTTCTTTCGTCTGGGCTTTAGATACGTAGTCTCGGCCTACTTTGATACGTGGTCTAAGAAAGGCTTTAGTCATTTCGGTGATGGACAGACCCAACAGATGAGCAACTTTTTGTGCCACTGTATTATCAGGTAATGTTGCCTGATCACTGTTGCGTTCTTGTTTGAATTGCATATTACCAAACAGCATTACAGCACTTACAATACGGAAAATAGCTAAAAGAAATATATAGAAATACTAATATAGTTTTATCAGGTGTACATAAGAAACATTTTAATAACAAAAACACAAATAATAAACTAACCAGAATAATCTTCTGTAGTCATTCCCATAATATTCATAGCGTTAACAGTTTCTTTGAATTCTGCAGCATCATCCACACCGGGTACGGGGAGATTTCCATTTGTAAGAAAACTATAAGTTTTAGGATCTTCGAGAATAAATTCCTCTACACAAAACATAATATAAAAGAAGAAGAAATTAATATTAGTTTTAAATAAACTTTCATAAAATTTAATAGATTTTTTTTTTTCAATATCTGAAAAACCATTAATTTACTTTTTTGTTCCGCAGATGCTCCACAAAGTATTTGATAGAAAATGTGGAATGTACGTTCGTCTTTAGCTTGGCGTATAGCTCTTGATTTTTCCAATAAGTAAGTTTCAATATTAGCACCAGCAATGAAACCAGATGCATCAAAATTGATACGAATAAATTTACCCTAGAGACACCACAACAAATGTTAAAAGTTTTATTTATATATATATATAAATGTTTACTTAAAACTTACAAATCTAGAAGAATTGTCATTTTTCACAGTCTTCGCATTACCAAATGCTTCTAAAATGGGATTAGCTTGCAACAGTTGTTGTTCTAATTCTCCCTAAAAATAAATAAACAATGTTTTTAAAAATCAATTATTTGAAGATATTATTTCACTCACCTCAAAACTAACATTATTATTACACTAGTTAAATAAATACATTATCAATCCGACCGGAAAGCGTGCAAACATTTTTGTAAAGCAATATGTTAATAATATTGTAATTAGGTAATAAATCTTAAGTACATAACTAATGTACATGTTAATGTAAACAGAAATCTTTTTTTTCTTCAAAAACAACATTTTTTAATTTACTTTTATAGTATGTTACACAAATTAAATTTATAATTTACCCATAAATATATACCCGTTATAAGACAAAAATAATTTACAGAGAACTGTATAAATACTTACAACAACTAGAGCTGGACCAGGTGACTATTATTTTCCAAAATGAGAAGATCAAATATGAAAAAACAAAATAAAAATAAGTTAATAATACACAATTAATGTATTTGTTAATAGTGATGTAGTTAATTTAGTTAATTTACTTGTAAAAATACAAGTAAATCTAATATTTATAATATAAATCCAAATCCCTATTAATTCAAAAATAGCAATTAAAACTCACAAATTAAAATTTTTTATTAAAATATAATAAGAAAAATGTTCTTGTAATTTATAAAGCTTTATGCAATATTCAAAATATCTTTTTTAAAAAAAATATAAAAGTATAATGTATTATACATTTTAATAACTCAAATAGGTGTTTAATCTTTAGCTTTGAATTTCCAACATTCGTTTTACGTGATTTATTGATGAATACATTTTAGTACCTTTTTCCCACTTTACCAACAACCGATTTTTGAACATTAAACTCGTATGGTTCGACTAAATATAAATAACAACACATTCAATCATAAAATGCTCATTGATATAGCTTCAGAAAACCATAGTGGTTGCCTATCCTAAATTATGTATACAAGTAGCATTATTAATGATTGTTAGTTGACAATGTTGTGTAATATTTTTCTTCTAATCAATATTGGTATTTGGTTTAGGATAGGTAACTCATGTACAGAAACTTGGTTTATGTGGTACGACATATAAGCTTCATATTTTGGCCGCAAGTGTTGCGCGTGTTGTAATTTTTGTTAGTGGCGGATTTGATGGGGGGGGGTACCGAAAAAATAAATTTCCTGATCTTGGACTTATCTTTTCAATTGTTACCTACTGGATAATACTCATAGCTGATACAAAGATAGGCCATCCTTAACTTAACAGAGCTCCAAGATTGATTTATAATGTCAGGTGTTAGTTTTATTTTACAGCTTTTTACTTATGGTGTTAACTTATCAATCGCCTCAGTTTATCGACCCTCCAGGAATTAACGATAATTAATAATATTACAATCACGGGTAAAACTACAGATGAATGATATCAACGAACGCCTGAATGTTTTGAAAAGTTTACGTTTAGAAAGAGCCAATATTAAGTTTTACAACAAAAGAACAAAATCGAAAATAACGAAACCGTTATTACTGTAAACTTTCTCCAGTTTTTTTCCAAATAGATCGAAAATCTTACAGGAGGGAAAAAAGTTATTTTTTTCGGATTTTTGATTAAAAGCAAGATTTCCGACAGAAAAGTTGTTCACAGACACAGAACAAATTCACATTATACCATAGTAAAATAATTTTAATACAAGAGTAAATAAAGCGTATTAAACTACACGACGTATAGAATTTATTTACACAAATAGAACACGGCATTTTTTTCCATCTACCCTTCCCTAAAATTAGTCTCAGCCCAACTACTGATTTACAGTGTATCTATTTGGTTTGATTAAACACGATGATTTTCGACAACTAGATACCTACGATACATACATAATAACAATTAAATATGTAATATAGGGTTTTGGTAATAATTCAAAATAAAATATTATTTATCATGAAATAAAAACAAACATAAACCATAATATTATGTTCATTTATTCGTCTGCATGTTAATTTGTCGTTCACTTTGTTTCCGAGTCGGTTGTCATTTCATTCATGTCATGATGATAACATTTAGTATTATATATATTTTATTTTCGTTTCAAGTGATATTTCCCCCGTCTCTTTCATTAAATTAAATTTGATTTGATTATTTCATGTGATCATCTGTAATCAATGCCAATAAAGAGTGCTTGAATTAACATAAACGACGTTATCTCGAATACGACGTTTACCATTATTTCGATTTAATAGTTTGGTTACTATAATAGCGCTTTGGGTTTAAGCGACTTTCGATAGTCGCAATAATTAAATTATCGAACTACACGACATGGCCGATTCCGACACTAAAATCTTCGATTTAAAGTTTTTTCTTGATGTAATTATGTAAATTATGTTCACGGTAACCTCAGAAAAAACGACGTCCCCTTAATATTTCACGGTGCCATTAGTGATGCCACCGCTGACGCCATCACAGACTGATTAAGGAACATATTATTATGTTATTATGGTAAAGCGACGACGATAACAACGTTTTAAAATCAATCATTAAACCAATAACTAGGTACCTATTTCGTCATTTATTTTTTAATATCTATTCGTAAGAATGAAAAAAAAAAACAATGTACAACAATAAACGACCTAAATATTCGGTAAAACAATAACAATTCATAATGCACACGTCGTTCGCTCGTCTTCCGGGCACGGAAAATATAATCGGACAAAAATCTTACGTCTACATTTTTGTTTTTAAATATTATTATTGTTGACGCAATACTATTATGGACCTTATCAATTTTCCGCGGGTAAAATATACCACCCCGTATATATTTGATTCGCGTTATCGGGCGAACAATAAAAATTAATCGATTCGAACGAAGCAAAAAAAAAAATAATAATAATAATAATATAATACACATCCGTATGGATTTTTTTTTTTCAAGCGCGTCCGGCGAGTTAATTAGATTAGAAAAAATAAAAATTACGATAATTATCGACGTTATATCGTCCGTTCGGGCATTAAACACTAATTGATTTTATTAATATTTATACAATCATCTCAATTACTTATGAGATTGCAGCAGTAATTGTTGTTTCGGCCGCGAGAAAGTCGAAAAATTCGGTAATAATTAACACACACACACTGAACGGAATTCGCCGTCGCCGTTTTCGAACAATAATAATAATAATAATTATTATATTTATACGACCGCTGTGATATTTCTATTGAACAATACTGCTGCGGCGATAAAACAATGTTTGAATGACCGCGATCGGAAAATCGTTGTAAACGACGCGCGCGTTTTATCGGTATATAATGTTATATAGTTCGTATTCGTGTTATACAGGGCGATATTATAATTGTTCGTTTTGCGCGCGCTGCTGTACGACCGTGTGACTCACGGCGTATTCTCGACTCGGACGAGCGCATTACTTAAAAACGGAAAAAAAAACACACACACACACACACACACACACACTTCGTATAAATACCGTATTAGAACCTGTTTGCTAGGTACGTTTCGTTTATTATCTTTTTATAAATTCGGCCGAACCGCTCGTTATCTATCTACACACGTACGTTACGTTCACTAAAAATGTTAATAAATATACGAGTATTATTGCGCGTACGCACATGACTGACGGACGGGGGACGCGGATGACTAACTGGTGAATTATTTCCCCGATAAGAATTTTGGGTATTTTACACACCGGTGTGTCGCGCGCGCGATCGCACATCGAAAAGTATTTAAAAATGTCGATAGGAAAAAAAAAAAAAAAAATCCGTCACGTAATAAAACATAATGCCTAACTAACGATTCCATATCGTTATTGACGTTAATACGTTCGTAACTTACTATAGTAAGCTCCCTATAGGGAGCCGGCCTTTTAGACGTATTTGCGTAACTATCAGTTTTAAAAAAGACGACAAAAACAAACGATAGGAATTAAACATACGTCAACGTTTCCACCGTGTAAGAAATCTAAATCCTGAATTCTATTTTCCGCTATTATTTGCGTGTTTTACAGACTTCGCTTTTTTAAGCATATTTATCGCAGTATTTAGCTTTTGAATACTATTAAAAGGAAATCGTATACGCATATTGTGTTTATTTTTTATTGTATTTTAAACACGCGTTTTTCGATTTACATTGTTCAAAATCATACGCATAGCTCATTTAGTTGACAAACAAAAGCATTGTGTTTGATCAATCAATAACTCTCAAATTAATAAACGTTTCAAAACATTAAGTTTTTACGAAAACCATTAATAATTAAAAAATAGCTATATGTCAATTATTTAGTATATTATTTACGAGCATTTTATTTTTTGATTTTGGTTGTTCATTTAAAGCTAGAAGTCCCTAAGCTTATTTATAACACATGTGGGCAATTGAGCGATTGAATAATTAAATTAAATGTAAAACTCAAATAGTAACTGCGGCAGACACAGAACAGTCCTGAACTTAAAACAAAAAAAATTATCAACAACAAATTGAAAACATTTACAATTAACAATATGAAAATAGTTCATTCAGTTTTAATTTTTGACATTAAATAGTACTTAATTGTTTGTTTGAAATTTATATCTATAATTGAGTAATTATTTATTTGAACAAAGAATATTTAAAATGAACCAGATACTATTACTACTACTACGATATTATTAAATAATGAATAATTTATAAAACATATTATAATACAAAATCAAACCAAGAAAAAACTTATGTTTACAAAAAGAATACATGTATTTTTCAATAGGTACATTATTGAAATATGCAAAACGTGAAAATTTTAAAAGGAATATTTCCGACTTATAACCCTACTGATAACTACAAAAACACTGCTTAGAGAATTCCAAATTTTTTGTCATCCCATTTTAACCATCGAAGAAACTGGACTATGGGAGTAAAAATATAAGAGATTGAGAACCTCCGTACACTATCTTTTTCTAACAATGCTTGTAACTTCATTTTTATTTTACAGAAAAAAACCATATATAATAGTTAATAATTAATGTTGTTATTCTTCTCTCTCTCGCTATTAACGGGTGTAGTATAGTTCAGAGGCGATTTCAAAATCTCGAAATGAATTTAGTTCAAAATAAATTATAGTGTATTGATCGGTTTCAGAAAATATTTTTGAATTTTCTAAATAATTAATGATAATAACATATCATATTAAATAATACAAATAATATAATATAAGATAAATGTTGTTTACATATTTCGTGTACATAATTATAACCCTCTCATCCCTCTTGTAATTTTCAAAATATTTGCCTCGTCACTTACAAGACTCGCTGGTATAGACCATAAAACTCGTACTCTCGCTATCTTTTTTTTTTAACAACATTGGTCCCACGGACTTCTTTCTGCTATCAGAACATTTTTCCTTGAAGCTCTATTACCTTACGTCTATACGAACGATTAGTAAATCGAAGACCAAAAACGTACCTCATCATAATCCAGACTTGTCTACCGGTCGTTATTAAATTATAATAAATTCGTTTTTTCGAAGAGTTCACTTATTTCGGGTATGTTTATCGACTTAGATCGATTATTGGTTTGAATATAATATTACGTGCACGGACGACTCGTAAATAATTATTTCCATTCCATCCATAGTTTCGGACGAGAACATGGAGAGAAACGACGACGTTGACGTGATCCCCTCCCAAGGGGACAAATACGAATAATCATCGCACGCGTGTACATGACCAATGTTTAAATCCGAAATATCTCATCGAGTATACAAAATAAAATTTGTAATTCTCGGCGTTCGTTCGCCTTCATGTGTTATTATAGAATAGTTTTCACATTTCGCCGTTTGTTGAAATTCACGGTTTGTGTACACTATTACGAAGTACAGGCGAACAAACATATTATACGAGGAATACGTGACGATTAACATAAACGTGTAACAAAAAAAAAAAAAAAAAAAACGACGCTAGAGAAAAAATAAAAACGACTCGGCTCGCGTAGAAAAACATCATCTTATATATTGTAAGCACGGATTGCCGTGTACAGGGAGACCCGAAAAATTAAAAAAAAAAATTAACTAATAAATTTCCATATACGAGAAATAAATTCTCGACGACGTTCTCCTCTTATAATCTGGTCCGGAGCTCGCGGACAGTTTTACTTCCGTGTTATAATAAATGCAAAAATCCATAAATCTGATATAATTTATTCCCTGTGATCTTCCCCCGACACGGTTATTCATATCAAATCGAGGGTTATTTTCTATTAAATCCTGACATGAACAACCGAATGGAGTTGTCTGAGAACCCTGGGATGAAGCAATATTGGAATATTTGAGGTTGTGATCAATGATTTTTTTTTTTTTGCTTTATTAGGCATACGGAGGCAAAACTGACCATATGCTATAAGGAAATTCGGACAGTATAGTACTTTCCATCCAACACCATGTTCGATATCATCGGATTTTCGCAGACGTTTTTCCAGGATGCACTGGGAAGGGCAAAGATAATTTAAAAATAAATAACGATTTTATAATTAAAATACTCCTAACTCTAATACATCCTTATTATATACAGTAAGACAAAAATGAACTAAAAGTTATAGACACGTCTCAACAGTCCCGTGATTTTGCCACAGATTGATTAACTTCGTTGATAAATTAAAAACCAAAGGGGAAGGGGTAATATTACCCTACCTCGCAACTCCCATCACGGACGATATATTATCTAAAACAGGTAGTATATATATATAAAAAATATATTTCGTGTATACTATAATGAAATCCATCGTGAAAAAAATCAATGGGTATTTGAAATATTACGGAGAGGCGGTGACGTATGTGTCCGGTGGGGTAATCAAACTACACAACTGTGTATTTTAAACAAACCGTGACGCAAATAATTAAAAGAATGCCAAACGGCAACACTGCGAAAATGTGCCCGACGACGATATTTTAATATTTACTCTCGATATTCGGGAAATTTACACGATTAGTTAATTCAAGGTCAAAATTAATTGAAAAATTTAAATTAATTTTATACAAGCTCAACGCCACGTATTTATTGTATATTAAAATAATAATTAGCAAACTTGTGCACTAAAGATAAAATAAAATCATTCTTTCTAATCGATAGATACGCACACACACTCGAATCGATAAATTTCACAATGGGTATTTATTTGAAGGAAAAAAAAATTCGAACATTATTGTCGTACCCGTAAAAATGACCCTATAATTATACTGTTAGTAAACGAGAATAATTATTGTGCTCAATTGAAAAAAAACAACCTGACACACACACGCACAGGCCCCACTGTTGTTGGTTGGAAACAAGTTTGGAGGATATAGGATAATGGTAATTCACTTTATATACCAGTAAGGTTTTAATATTATATTTGTTGTGTTTTTTCCCATTTTATAGCCAAGTTAATTCCATAAATCATAAAAAAAAACTAGGTACTTATAAGTACCTAGGTATGCCCAGACATACCGTCATTTTAAAATTGAAGTGAATCTGGAAAATTATTTTTAAATAAAGTACCCCCAGACGATAAATCATCTTTTAGTATGGATATACAATGTGAAAAATTTGGAGCATTTTTAAGAACCGAAATATAGTTCGGTAGTTAAGAAGAAGACGTTATTAAGGTTTTTTTTAATATGAGATTTAAGAAAATATCAATTTGTATGAATGGCGATCGGCTTAAAAAGAATTTTAATTGAAAAAAAAAAACAATTCAAATTCATAATTGTTTACCGTCTCAACATAAGTTACATAGACGAATTTTGCAAGCAGGTAAATTTTCTATACTATCGGATCAGACTTATGGTTTTAGAAATCGTTCGGGAAACCTACTGTAGCTATAGAGTTACGACTATAATATTATAACAAACAACCGGTAGGTACATATTATTTATTATGAGTCATTGAAAGCGATGCCGATAATAAAAATACATAAGTAATTGTTCGGACCGATATGATTATTGTACAAAGAAATGAGAGGGAAAAATGTCAAACCGATCACACACGCGCGGTAAAAGAAAAAACTATACAGATAGGTACACGATGATTTTTTTTTTTTTTTGAAATCGCCATTCGCGAGGCCGTTCGGATAAAATTAATTGTTTCTCACGGACGTCATGTGTGTGTGTGTGTGTGTGTGTATGTGATAAGAGAAGCGGAGCTAGAGGAGCTTACCTATAGCTAGGTATAGTCTATTTAAGGTAACACGCGTTTTTGGACCACTTTTGAATCGACCGGGGGCGGGGAAAATATTATCAAATATAAGCGAGTATAGGTACGTGTAGTTTTTTAAGTATTGTTTATGGCCGTTTGTTTTAGGAATGATTTGTACACGCCGCCGCGCTGTTAATAATTCCATAATAGGACAGCTATTATAAGTATACACCTCCTATAGGTATTTGACGGGGCACATATGATTATTATTAGTATTACACGACGACGACGTCGTCTCAATGCATAACAGATAGCGAAAAAAATGTTTAAAAAACGCTCACACGACAGAAGGCCGTATATTATTGTATACGACCGATAAAAAAAAAAAAGAGTTCTACAGTGTGGTTCTACACCGAAACAATAACACGAAATATTTTATCCGAATGGACTTGGAACGAAATGAAGGGTTTTTTTCTAGGAAGGCGAAGATGTACGCATAGTGCGCATTTTAAGCCGATTTTTATCCTGGCGTTTTCTTAGATGGAAATATCTGCAGCTTTAAGCATCGGATTCAAATAACCTTATTTTTTTTTCGAGTTACTTTAATCAATTATAATATTTTCTAAACAAAAAAAAAACTAGAGATAATTTAAGCATCGTCCGTCCTAAATTCAATTGAACATTTTGATTTATACTTGATTTTTCAACAAAATTGAAAACTTATTGTGATTATGTTATTAAGTAACGTGAACGTCGTAAAATATTGTGAGTTTGCCCGTGTTTGCCTGTCCGTATGCACTATATATTTCATATGATTAAGAATTTTAGAATACGGTTTTTACTGAACAATTAGTTTGAATCTAAAGAAAGTTTTCATTAATTTTCAGTCCAATTGGCGAAAATTGAAATCTTGGACTACTTCGATACTCTGGTTTGTATCGGTTTATTTTATAACACGTACGTGTAATTTTAAGATTAGTTTTAATTAAAAATCTCAGTCAAAATATTTAGCTTTCAGTCACCGTTTGAAATTTTGTTGAAAAACGGAATAAAAAAAATCATATATTTTAATCAAATGTATAGATAGATAGATTTATACTTTAGATTTACTTATCATGGACAATTTTCAAAGTCAATTTGAGCGAAACACACTGTATACATATATATATCAACGTCGGCGAATATATTTTTTTTTATTATTAAAACTGTTAGGAAACACGAAAGAAAAAAAACCGACAACACCACCGCAGAAGGAAAGAAAAACTCTATTGCTTTTATTATTATTTTAATATTTGTTAAACACTCTATATACATGATTTATTGACAGTGCGCCTGTCTATACTTCTATACTGTATAAATAGATACACATAAAAAAAAATAACTGCACGCGTCGTGGCTGTCGTGTTTCTATAATAAAAATGATAACGAAGGCCTTAGTTTCGGTTGTTTTTTTTTTTTTTTAAATTTTTTTTTACTATTTATCGTAATATTTTATACTTTATTTATGAGTTTATGACTACAACTCGTAGCTTATAAATGAAACTTTGGAATCCTAATACCGCCCGACAAAAATAATAACGTCTACATTGTATAGCATAATAGGTTTATCGATCGGCTTTTACATTTTCTTCGTATATAATATTATGCCTAAAATAATGTATAAAAATTAAATAAATTTTAGTGAATTATTATATACTGTGTCGATCAGAAATTAAACACGATGTAAAAAAAATTGATACTGATAAACATGGGTCACTGTTGTACAAGTGGGTAGTTGGGAAGGGATGATGTACAAGGTAATTTAATTTACAAACTGTAAGCAATGATATATTAAGTTATTAATCGTTGTTTGTATTAAATTATTTTGAACGGAGTAGTTACTTTAGTGTTTTTATCGTTGTTCCCGAGATTCCCCAGAAAACAACAAAAATTAAAAAACAATAAAAACGACCAAGACGAGGAAAAATGTTTAAAAATTGTTAAGATAAAGTGCCAGGTAAAACATCCACATCTTTAAAAGTACGACATGAAAAAATCCGAACATTTTTAATTAGCAAAAAAGTGTTACCCGAGAAAAAACACATACATACTTAGTAAAAGTACGAATGGCTCCTTTGCTAAACTCAGAATCTGAAAATACTTGTCAGTAGTAAAATAATTTCACCGACAATAATATTATTATGAGAAGGAAATTCAATTAGAAATATTTTAGGAGAAACATGGTTCCCCAGCTTTATAAACGCTTAAAGCAGGTTACAGCAAATATTGTAATAGTTCAAACACGTAATACGCAAAAATTATAAAAACGCTATTTAAAACACGACTACGAATTTGAGGCGGGAAAAAAGATACACCAAAGGAAACACCAAAAAGGGCAATTAAATGTGAAAAAATTGATTTGGAAAATGTAGAGGTACGCGATTGGTCCATTTTTATATTTGTATATAAAACGGGGGGAGGGGGGAATATAGATAACGGAAGAAACTCGCACAGTTATTAAAAACCAGAGAAGAAGAGCAATAATTAGTATTTTTTAAGACGATTAAATTGGAAATCATAATTACTCATATGCGAAAAAAAATGGCAAATTTCTAAATTTATTATTGTGACACTCGTTAAACAAGTATATTATGGTCTCATTTTAGATATATCAAATACCGATTTTAATTTCGATATACATCACAATTACCAATACCACGAAATTATATTTTAAATAAAAACAAAACCATCATTCGTTTGTTAAACAAATAGATTATTTTTTAAAAAAAAAACACCAAATGCGTTCTTTACCGCTACGGTCTATTTCACACAAACACATACATATAGTATACAAGCACAAAAACAGTTCTTTGAAATTCAATGTTTCACTAGCTCCATATATGGTCCGAATATTGAGAAAACTAACCAACTGTTACGAAAATTTTGACTACGGAGAACAAGATGTTGTTCCGTTCACAGATAAATACCTAACTAGAATATAAAATAGTTTCTTAAAATTAAAATAAAGTAATTTATTGAAAAAAAAATATTATAAAAATAGTTTTAAAATGAGAAGAACTTTTATACTTGTAATCAATGATAAACTATTGATAAGAAAAAACGATTCGGAGCTGAATTCGGTTGTACATGATTTGAAAGGCCATAATATTTAAGATTTTAGTCAAAATTTGATTTTAACTTTTATAATACTCTGAACTTTAAAATAGTTTTTATGCAGTTTTTTTTTTTTGACAACTTATAATGAGCCTCCTATCAAATTTTCAAAAACAAAAATTTAAAATAATAAAATAATTATTTTCGTAAATTTTCTTGTTCTTTCTACGTATTTTTCGGTTAAATAAAAGGAAAAGCAAAAAAACGACATACTTGGGCATCAACTAGATTAAAAATGCAACAAAAAAGGTTTCATGTCGTTTATATATTGGAGAAAAATGTATAGTACAAGATATAAGCCGTAAAAATTTAAAATAAAGAAATTGTTGTGCTGTAATTTGAAAAAAATAATATATTTCGTCTTTTAAGATTTTTTCAAATTATTATGAAAAATACTTAAGATACCAAAAAACGATTAACTAGCAACATTTAATAGGAACAAAATCGATCTCTTGTCATTTTCTGGTAGAAAACTTAACACAATGAAAACGGTAATGTCACGGCGCGCCGTAAATATTTGCCGTTTTACATATAATTTTCTTTAAGTTTTCCCAATTATTTCGAAAATCCCTTGGAAAATCAAAAAATAATCTCAAATACACCAACTAGAGAACATTGCCTTTCATAAAAGGTATAGTCTATACTTCGGAGCAAGTTTTCTGGTAGAAAAATTGTCCAGACAGAAAAAAAATACAAAACACACATCATAGTAAAACCAATAGATTCGTCGCTATGCTTCGAATATAAAATGTATAAAAGTATCATCTGAAAACTTTGGAAACGAACAAGCGATCTAATTAATTCAACGCGAATCATATCAATAGGTAAACCCTGAATAGAAATCGAGTAACTAAACCGCCGACAAAAAAATGCAATAATTAATTTTGCGTAGGTATTAACACTAATGACGATTTATATTAAATTTAAAAAAAAAAAAACTTAAAAATATGTTTCTCGGGAATTTGTATCATAATTGTTTAATGTTTATACTTTATAGCGAATGTAGTTAATTTTCATTATTTGTTTCAAGTTGTGTAGTATATGTTTAAACGTAATTAAAGAAATTAACAGACAAACAATAATTTTTGGAATCATTGGCCTCTCCCTCTACTAATGAGAAATCCTACATACGCAACTGATAATATAATGGTATTTTTTTATATTAGTCAACTCGTTAAATAATAAACGAGCTATATAAGTATTATATTATAATATTCAGAGCCATTATATTGTACAATACTTTATTTAAAATGAACAAACGATCCGTGTATAAAATACATTATATTAAACGCCATATTATTCTATAATAGCAGCAATATAGTTGATCACTTAATAACTGTATATTTCAGCCGCTGGAAACGTCTGGTGTAATTTGTACATTTCCGAAATAAGTGCAACGTATTGAATTAACATTATTGTTAATTCAAATATTATAATAATTCCGTGTGAATATTATGTCAACTAATATAAACGTACATACACGGTGACTCTTTTGAAGTAGAAAACTATGTTGAAAATAAAAAGTTACTCAAGAGCGATTATTTAGTAAACCTTTTCGGTTCATATTTTCTGAAAAGCGGAAATAACTAAAAATAAAACATTTAAATCGTTAGATTCACTCCAAAAATGTTATTTAAACAAGATTAACTTTCAAACACTTACACCAAATTCCAAAATCAATGAATGAGAACGAATTCTATACCACTCCTTAAAAAAAATCCAATGGTATTTAAAACTAATTAATGTTTGCTACTAAAAATAATATTATTAGGAAGGATATTTTGTAGAATATTCAACACGGAAATGACCAAAACCCGATGACTCAGAGAGATTATAATATCGAATCTAAAGTGTTTCGTTCGAGGGCCTCTCGACCGACATTTATTTTCTCTGGCCGTCTCGTGCGTTGTAAAGCAACAAACAAAGACATTGTGCGATTGCGAATCACTAGTTGAATTTAGGACAAAGAAAACTATTATTTAAATGTAAATTGTAGACATTTTCGATAGGAAAAAAAAAAAAAAAAAAAAAAGTACAATTATGCCTTGACCGAATAGTTTGTTAATTATTTTCATTATTTTTAAAAATTCGGTTAAAACGAAGAGAAATTATTAAACCACGCATATATCTCGATTAAAAATAAAAATCATTCGGCCAATGTTTAAACAGTAAACACTATTTTTTATAAAATATATATATATATATAAATCCCTTTGCCCAAAAACTTAAACTACAGAGATTTGCAATCACGGAATGCTTTTGTTGATTGATGTTATATTATACGCGAGAGACAGAATGCAGAGAAAACAAATTTAGGCGTAGCGCGTAGAGGCCTCTGCTTAATTTAATAATAATAGTTAAATCGATCGGACATTTTGTTATTTACAAGACAGTGCACATGCACGTATACAAATTAAAACCTCAAATGAGTTACGAGATAATAATAAGTATGCTTTCTTTTTAATGCTTACTACCAAATATAATATACAATATGACGCATGGTGACGTTAGTTAATTCCGACTAAATTATGGCGCCTTTCATTTAACGACAGAGTATGAATGATATTATAATAAATGCAAGTATATAATACGTAGACCAACGGGGCAATTATGGTAAATATACATACGGTTAGTTTAATAAGTAAACGCGGCCCATTCGTATGCCCTAAAAAAGACAAAACGATATTATTATCATCGACCGTATGTGAATTTCGGTAACCGCGTGCGCGCGGACGTCTTATATAATATAATGAGTGTGTATTAAATTTACTATTTGCACATGACACGATTTTATACGAGAAAAGGAAAAATTGTGACCATATGGGGACTGTAATACACTAAACGCGGTGCACATAGATCGGTTAGGCGCCAAATAAGGTAGCAAAAAAAAAAAAAAAACGTCAACATCATCCTTGTACCTAGTGCTGCTGCACGGGAGTTCATCGATAAATCTCTAAATTACTTTCACTGTAAACATTTAAAACATTTGTATAATATATTATGTCGTATGTCGTTATTATACCATAATAATATCATTGACCGCAAGTCACCAATATATTACATTTTGTTTCCATCATCACGTTGATAAAATCATTCTACCTAATAATACGATACGAATACTAACACCTACGTAATATTTTAGAATATACAATAAATTATTTACGAAAATAGACCGTTATTATATTATAATTATTTACGTATAGTGTCCTAATATAGGAGTTTCGAAAATCAAACGACAGAATATTTGGGTACATTAATAAAATCGGCGTGTAAGGTCGCCGCGCGGAATCGGGGAAAATTAATAATTAACCGTTCGACGGAAACCGCCTAAATTGGAAACAACTGCTAATTACTCGACAGTTGACAACTATATAGACGACGTTAAAAAGTTACCAGCATAAACTCGTAATATAATAGATAATATAAAGACATTAAGACCAAGACGGGACATCTAGACAGCCGAGGTCAGTGACGAACCCACGGAGAGGGATGGGGTCTGAGGGAGCAATTATGTCCCTGAGGGACCATATTATACGTATAAGCATTTTTAAGTTTATACAACAAAACTAAAATCTAAGTCTTAAATAATTAAATATTTTGAGAATTGATGAGATACTCAAATATAAAAAAATTACTACTTCAATTTATTATTTGTGAATTTACCTGATTCTTTACGCCAGAGCGTACATTATCCACTCTAAAAATATTGAAAAATTATCTACGGCTAACATCTAAATAGAGGCTATTAATAGACTAGCGTTAGTGAATATTAACAAATCTAAAAATACATCATTGAAAAAGAAATAATCGATAAATTCTGCTGAAAAAGTTTTATGATACCTCCAGCTATCGAAATGGACAAAATAATAATTTGTTTATAATTGAGTTATTTTTAATAGCTGTGCCCCCTCATTTTAAATTCTAACTGAGTCACTGACCGAACGGATACTATATTTTCGCGGTCTTAAATTGCAGATAACAAGCTTGTTATCAGTAAGCCGTATATACGAAAATTGTGGAGGTGACTATAATAAAATACAGTCTTCACTAATAAGCTGATATGCCCCATTCGCGATGTGATGTTACTCGTTATGATGCACCCAAGATAATGTATGTATCAACAAATAAGTGCGTTATCTCCGATTCCTTGTTCGCTACGAAAACCTCACCTACGTGTTTATCAAAAACTGATACCGATCTAAGAAAATTAAAAATCCTAAAAAACTTAATACCAATAAACAATTCACGATGGGTTTCAGCAGAAATAAAGAAAAGGGAAAAATACAAAAAAAAAAAAAGTTATAACACTAAATCTCAAAAAAAATTTACTGCCATCGATGGAATCGAACACCAATCTATTATTAAAAAGACACCGCACCACATATTGAAACACCACAAAGGCATTTTAACAACAAACTTGTATACAGAGTGAAATATAACAATCGACCGAGTTTTATTTAACGTGTGGAATGATTATAATATATTTGCGCGTCCCGTCCGTGTTTTTATTGTCTATAATAATGTATACAGACTAGACATGAATATTATTTTATATAGTCTTTTAGGCCCGTCCACGGATTTATTATGATGTATTTAGCAACGTGTAACAATAACGATGACGACGGTTTCTCGTTCCAGCATTATTTTGCGACGCAAAATAAGGACAGATTTATCGTACTTATATTATAATCATAATATATTGTTCGGGCCGATAAAATATATAGATAGATTAGATATATGTACAGCTCTAATAGCTTTCACCGTGCGTGGTGGTTTTTTTTTGCAGCAGCAGCAGCAGCAGCAGCCGAGTGATTCGTGCGCACACGACACGAGACACGACTACACGGCTATTTAAGGCAAATATTTAATATTCAACGAGCAAAAATACAGGTAGGTATCGTACGACAAAACGACTTTACTTACGAGACAAACAATACTCGTATACAGGTACGATGAGCGTCAATCATCGCGCGTAAAGTGTCAAGTATGTATTATATATATAGGGTAATACATTTTTCATGTACCAACGATTTAACCTACTGCTCCGGTCTAAACTTTTAACTGGTATAACTCACATAAACAGTAAATCTGATATTATAGAGTTATTGTCTATACGAATTTAGGATTAAGATGGACAGGGGTCTTTATTTTAGAATAGATTTAAACAATTCTATAATATTTTAGGTACCAGGGACGAAGGCAATTTCGTATAGTTTTCAAAACGAGAAAATGAAATTTCGAGAATTGCTAAATGGCTAAATCGTCCAATCATCATAAATACGAAGTATCCTAATAGGTCATAAGGCCTTCTCGGTTAAGTAAAACAAAATATATCACAATGCCTTAAGATGTTTTAATTGGCAATACATACATGCGTTAGAATACACAATTATGCATACGCTTCCATTTAGTAGAAAAAATAAAGAGAAACAAACGACATAGAAATAAAAAAATTCTGAAAATTGACTTAGCCTTTCTTCACAGGATTAAAAATATAAACAATAAAAAAAAGAAATCAAATTCGCTAAAAATTCTCCCGAGAAAATCGCTGGTTCACCCTGTATTATACATAGAGTTCGTCCATTGATATAATATATTATTACTAATAGAGCTGAGTACAAATCACTATAATATTATACTCAACTAAAACGTACATAGGAAACGCGTGTATACAGCCGCGTATTATTTATACAAATATGGAAAAATATTGCGAGGAGGTCAACTCCGCCGGTCTACAGCTCTGCAGGTTTTCATCGCTGTTCGTATAGCTTTCACACGTAAACCCCGTACAGAAGAAGTTAAAATGGAATTTTTACGCGATATTTATTATAATAATATATTATGCGTTTTATACATATAACTTTATATAAAAAAATTATGTAGTAGTCGTGTTTTGCACACGCTTCGTACTGCAATAAGACGATCGCGATTTAGTTTAATGAATAAAACATACTGTAAAAAAAAAAAAAATCGGCGTGAAGCCGGTAAGATAAATGTAAATATAGAGTAATTTAATTTTTACCTGCACAACAATCATTGGTAACAAAAAACAATTCTGAACAAAATTTGGATAAAAAGCATGATATAATCTGTAGTTTTAATTACAATTAGCAGATAATTTACCGAATGGTACGCGAAGACAGTCGGGCGGCACCCATAAAAACAAACGCTAATAACAAAAAACTAGCGACTAAGGATTTTCATTATTTTTATAGAGCCATACGAACACAAAGTACGATGATAAATGTATCATATTTTATTATTCATTTTAGAGGCGCCAAAAAATATATAGATACACACAAATTCAAATCAAAACTAAAACAGATGCAAAACTGGCAAAAGGATACAATAATAATTTAAAAATCGATAGAATAATAGGAAATTTATCATGCCCAGAAAGAGCTGATGTAAGTAGACATTCGGTGAAAATTCAGATTTCAACGAATATATCGTTAACTAAATTACAGAAAAAATAAATAAATAAACAAACGAAAATTATAAAAATAACCGAGCTATCGAGTACTCTTCTATTTTTGTTAAGAAACTTTAAGAAAATAAAACAAAAATGACTTCCTCCACTCACAGACTAGACAAGTCACTACGATTAAGTTCCTATGTAATTTTTCGCATGGACCAAGATTCCGGTAAAAAAGGGCGTTCAAAAGGTACAACAAATAAAATAAAAAACACAAATAGTAAAACACGTCAAATCGTATAATAGAAACATTGCATTTGCACCGGATTAAATATCATGGTGGTATGGGTTACCAGGTTATCTATACATACAAATAATTATTATACACTTTTTACTACAGATATTATCTGTTAGGTGGATATTTATAAAATCCAAGAGCCTAATATAGAAGCGGGGAGTGGTTTTACAAAAAAAAAGTTAAATCAACAACAACATCGCATTACGCCTTCGTTTTTTTTTTTCAAACCTACAGTCAGTGCATTGCTAATAAAAGTACACACAAAATCTACAACACACATTATTATTATTTTTACTAGTACGACTACGCCGCCAATTTGAAACATTTATACGTATATATTCGTATTCGGTCATAAACGTCTGCAGGGCTACACATGCATTTGTTATCTCTATCTTACAAACGCACGACAACAAAAATTTGCATTCAGCAGAACCAATCTTGTGCATGTAGATTTAACATTAGAATGAATTGACCCATTATCAAAGGTAGAATATTATCATACTAGTATTAGTTTGCGTACGCGTAGATATTAGCATTTTAAAATAATTGTGATATTTCACACTCATATCTCGCTTAAAATTAAATTAACGAAATAAAATGGATACAAACACAGATTAAAGTCTTGCCTTTAAATTTGATAATAGGTCAATTCCCTCTAATATTAAAAACGAATGGCCTAAAATTGGTTCTGCTGAACGCAAATTTTCTAAGTCACACATTTGTGTAAGACGCGCGTAGACAACAAATGATCTTAAATACCGATCAAATGTTTTACCTATACCTATTATTTTCCATTTTGTGTTTTCATAAGTAATAAATTTGTCGATAACAATAATCACGTAATAAAACACAAAAAACAAGAAATTGTTGTTTACCGAATTTAAAATTAACAAATTATTATGGTTGTATAGTGCTGACTAACAATAATCTAAATTTCTAAATTCGTGAGAGGGGATTGTGGCTAATTTTCGTTTTCGCCAAACAATATTAGCCCGTTTCTGTCACAGCCCTACTCCGCCAAAAACTTTGGAAACCAATGATTTCAATTTTTATTAGTATAATGTATAACAATTATTTTATTTTATTTAACACCCTAATGGGGTAATTAGTACAGATAACCTCTAGTTTAATGCAATCTATTGTACAAAATTAATATCATTTAATCGATAATTTAAAAAATATTGCAATGATCAAAAAAAATAAAAAAAAAAATATATATATATAATAGATTAAAAACTACCGAGGAATCGAAAATACAAAAAAATCTAATGAAATGAGTATATACACTTTTGTTAAAACGATCTCATTTAATTATAATTATTGACTGTAATGATTTATATTATTATTACTATACCGAACGATTTATTAATATTATTACTTAATATTTATTAGGTATCTATTGTTTTACTATGACTTTTTAAAATATTTAAATATAATGTATATAATATGATTTTTTTTTTTTAAAACTAATTTAATTGTTTTATATTATTGACTTATTGACAGGAACGAATTATACTATTATTAATTGGTATTACTTTAGGTATATGATTCCCAAACAATATTTAGTGGAACGTCTCTTTACAAAATAGATTTTGGCGGAAAATGGCTATGCCCCTAATAATAAGTATCGAAGGGGGAAGTTATAATCTCCTACCCCTCTGAATATGCTACTGATTGGTTGCGAAGATGTAAAAATGTCCCTTAGAAAAAAACAAAAAACTTGTCAACAACGTACAAAACGACGGTTTCTTTCAGATTTCATATTTATTTATACGCTTAGTTTGTAATTTTATAATCAATAATAGTATACTATACTAAATGATTATATTATTTTAGATAAGTATAACATGATTTTATTGGTTTTCGTAAAAAAAAATAATAATAATAAAAATTAAAAATAGGTAGTACTTTATTTGATTTAATCGTTTATTACCAATATTATATATACTTATATGGATCAACGATAAAAAAAAAAAACGGGTAAAAGTCGATTGTTCGTATACATGGGAAAATAAACAAATGAAGTTTAAACGATTAATATGACCGAGATTACTCACGGCATGTTGAATCACTCCTTTGGGTTTGGACGCGGCGACGTAAGCCAAGTATTGAATGACTTTTTTCGTGTTTTCCGTTTTTCCGGCACCCGACTCTCCAGTACACAATATCGACTGATCTTCTCGATCTAAAATGCACACAAAAAAAGAAAAATCAAATAGCGATAAAAAAAAAAAAATACGAATAAATTAAATAGCATGCATTTTTTTATTAACCTTGCAACATAGATCTGTATGCGGTGTCGGTTACCGCGAACACATGCGGCGGTACTTCGTGCCGTTTGTTGCCTTTATAACGTTCCATAATGTTTTCTGTGTAAATTGGTAATCTTTTGTACGGATTTACAACTACGCAAAAGAGACCGGAATACGTCTGAAAAAAAAAAATACAAAATATATTATTATTGTGACAAATATTATTTTATATGCCTTATAAAACCTTTAAACATGCAGATGTAGGTATGCAGATATGCACTTTAAAAATGTACAACATTTTTAAAATATGCAAAATACAATTTTTTTTTATAAAATTGTTAAGTCACGAAACGAATTTTGGTTATAAACTGTAGCTATTTGTTTTGACAATCTCGTAAACATATGCAAAATCATATAAATATTTACCCTATTTATTATAAATCGTATTCAAAAATAAAAACAATAATTGCATTAATTGTAACCCTCTATAATGTGCAATATTTTATTAAATATATATTATGTATTTTAACCTAGAATAATAAATTTGCAGATATATAATAATGGCTAAAAAAAACAAAGTATACGTACATAAGTACATTACTTTGATTATTGATATTGAAATTCGGGGAATTAGGTATACTTAACCTAACCGCATAACTCGTGATAACTTATTACGTCTAGAATAATATTATGGTCAATATACTTTATTAATATACTTTTTTTTTTAAGTATAATAATAATATTACAGCGACGTAATAATCATAAGTAATCTTGAATTATCGAGTCCATAAACCGGTAATAATATTAATAAAATAAATAACACTACAATTATTTTTTAACCGTTTACTATTCATATTTTCTTTGATTTAAAAATATAATAAAACATTTTCCATATAATACTATATTGCTTACATTATTTATTACTTTCCGGGTATTACATACACATGAATAAATAATTATACCTGAAGGGTAATTGATGAGAGTTTTCTAACGCTTATACACATGTTGTAGAAAATAGACGATAACGTAAGAAGATTCCCCAGGAGTTGAGAACCACTGCTATAGGGATACAGTCTTAAAGATACCAGATTCTGACGAGTATTAATAACATAATCATTATAGTAAATGCATATTGGTAGGTAATTTTAAGTTCATCAGAAATTTCGAAGAAAAAAGAACGGACATACGTCACACGTAGGTGTAGCCACTGTAGGTGGGAAGGTAGGATGCAGACGGAAATTTAATGTATATTTCTAAGCAACGATAAGCCATTGCTAACGAAAAAACGATTCTGAACTAAGTTCAGTTGATAGTATTGCTTTGTCAACAATACAATATATGGTATATATGTCATATTATAGTAAAATGATTACAACAATGTGAGTTTCCATTACAACAATGATTGTTTAAAAAAGATTAAATTAAAATAATAAAAACTTAATAACAAAAAATAAATAAAAACGGTTACCAATGATAACGTTATTTTTTATCTTCATAAACATTATTATAAAACCAATACTCGTTCCACTCAGAATCTAAAAATAACTATTACTTTATATAGTTTACTAGGCTTTAAGAAAATTCTAATTCTCGAGAATTATTCGAGATTCTACGTAAATATATCTAATAGATATTATTATGAGAAATACAAAAACGATCCCGAGAAAAGTATTATATTTTTTTTCAATGTTTAAAATAAAATATATACTATTTAAAAAAATCAATTAAAGACGAACTTGTTTTATTTTTTTTTTTTGAAGTGTTGAATTTCCAATATCCCGCTACACCTATGGATTATTCAAATATAGTAGAGTATATGATAATATGCCGGAATCGTTTCTTACATGCCCACCATAAACAAAAAACCTGTTTCATAAAAACAACATCCGCAGTCAGAAAGAAAATAAATATATTATATTAAATGTTTAACACGAATGGAGTATTTATTTCTTTGACGCTTTCTTCGTACGTACAAATAAAATACATTATTTACTATTTTTTTGTTTTTTGTATTTCTACTCAATTAATTCGAAATATATACTGTTCACGATAATATGTTTATTTTGTTGAATAACTAGCTTATGTTTTAGTTTGTTTATTATTAATGTCTTCCGAAAAACAACGATACACTCCAAAACTTGACAGTTTGAAAATATTTCATCGTATTCCAACATTCGGCGTTATCGACTAGGTATATAAATATTTCTGATTGATATATTTTCTTAACTCAACAGTTCTTATCTGCCGCGATTCACGCCCAGGATACAGTACGTGTACCCATCGGTTGGGTTCCTGTGATAACACGGGGAAAACCGGGGTGAAAACGTTGCTGCCATTTGAACAAGTTTCATTGTCCAAATCGACCTAAATATCATAGATTATACATAAAGGAAAAGGCATTACACACAAAATCGCGTGCTTGAAAAGTACCGAGGTAACCATAATGGTAACACTGTGGTTCTATTTGGTTACGAAAGTATTATAAGATTTAAAATAATCATAATTTAAAATATCATAAGAATGATGGAAGCAAAAAAAAATAATGACATTGTCAATATTAGAAAAAAAAAACCACATTTTTGAAATGAATAAAAATGATTTGGATATGATTTATTAATATTTTACTAATTATTACAGCTATTTGGTATATTTATATTATTTGAACTGTTTAACTATTAATATTATAATTGATTATTATTCAAATTAAAACAAATATTTATTATTATCAGGTATTTTCATAACAAATTGATACCACGGAAATAGTTGTGGCTATAATGCAGTAACTCTGTGGTGCTTCTGGCATGCGACCCCATGGGGTCATAGGCTTATTGTTATGGGCATATCCTATCCTTTATGTATTATCTATAGTAAATATGTTGGTATTCAACAACCTTATCCCAATAGGCCCAACGTTTAGTCGAATTTTGGAAAGCAAGGTTAAACTCGGGCACTCAACTCACTGCAACTAATACAAGTTACCTATCTGCTTGTAAGCATAACAAAAAAAAAAAAAAAAAATAATAATAATAATATAGGTGAATTAGATAACATAATATTGCGATAAAACATTGGGGCACTTTCTTGTCTAAAACAAGATTTCAATTAAAAATATTTTCCCCGCCGTGTGCAGTGCACAAACGGTGTAAACGGAAATATTTAGAATAGTTCGAAAAGAAGTTTAACGACAATTAACTGTACGTATACCAACGACCTTGGATTCGTACTCGATTTTCGGAAATTCGTGTAGATACAGAGTATACAACATATAATAGAACGTTTGAAAATACGAGAATAACAATTTGCAAGTAAAGTTTAATAATATTAATATTGTTTTAAACGATTTTTTTTATATGTATATATACATAATATATATTCAAATTTGTAATGCACGATTATCTAATCTTGTTGATGAAAATAATGCATTTTGCAATGTACGTGCCAAATTGTTTATCTGAATTTCACAAAGAGTGCGGGACACCCCCCGTCGATTCGAAATACCTTTGGAACTGTGATGGAAATAACTCTGAAAATAACTACGTGATAAAAGACAAAAACCGGTTGAATTTTTAAAGCAGAAAATAAAACAATGTAAAACCGAGATGAGAATATCAAGACGCGATATCGGCTGCGTTTGGCGTCGCTTAGTTCCGGAAATCGAACATTTTCCTGGGTGACCTGTTGCCCGCCAATTCCTCGCCAAACGGTTTTTTACAACAGGTGGTTTTTAACGTATTTCGAATGATAATAACAACAATTGTAACACTGCTGCAGTTGTATAGAGCGCAATCTGTTAGGAAAAAAAATCACAGGATGGGAAATGTATAGAACATAACGTATACATATTATGAGTCTCAGGGTAAAAAAAAAAGAAATACAAATAAATGTATTGTGTAGGTATACCTGTAGGTATCTTGTTTTAGAGAATTTTTATTCTAAAATTTCGTAGATCGAAAATGTATTATTGCTCGCGTGTGTGTGTCGAATTCCTTTGACCATATAGTTATATGGTTTTTTTTTTTTTTTTTAATGTAATTTAATTAGCTTCTTAACGATATAAATGGAAAAAAATAAAATACTGCGGAAGTATATATATATTTTTAATTGCGTATTATAGAAATAATACTAATATTATTATTATAGGAACGAGCAATAATAATTGACCTATTTGATTGCCACCGTGAGCAAAGGAATTTGCCGTTAAATCCGATTAAACGGTGATAATTTCCAACAAATTCCATGAACAATTCGACGACTACCTATTATAACGGCTGCTACACTCGGCAAGGTTCTCCTGCACCGGTGATAGGTTTCGTAATGGAATTGATTTGAAAACGGAATAGACCGGGATTCCAGCACGCGGGGGCAGCAAACATTATATCATATTATTGTTTTGTCCTTTAGTGCCCAGTTATTACTATTTAACTAATTGGTTACAACAAATCATTACACTTTTGAGCACGCGTTTGTATACCAGCTAATAAAGTAACGGAGTTAACGTTAATTATTGTAATACGAATATTACAACAATAAATATTAATGTCGTTATACTTGAACCGATTTTCTACTGTTATTTTAATAGGTATATTGGCCTATTGTCAAACTTAAAGACAAGAACATTATTGTCTGTGTTTTATGATGTTTTAATTTTTAGGCCGGATCCGACGATTTTTAAATTGCAATACTTCATAAATTCATAAATCGCTTGAAAATTAAAATATCGTGATAAAACAACGCGCAAGAACAATGTTCTTACCTTTAAGTTTGATAGTAGGCTAGTACATTCTAATATACCTATTAAAACTAAACGTACACAATTGATTTCCATATATAAATGTATAAAGGACATTAACCATAACGTGTATACATATAATATTATAGAAATGATATTTAATCAATGTTCGACTGTTTAACTGTAAACTGAAACAACGCTGTACGACGAAGGAGAAAATATTATTACTCATGATATATGACTAAAAACCCGAACTAAAACGCATATTTGTTGGAAAAGTGTCGAATGAACGATGACTCACGGATATAGAGGCGGCAGTAACCTACCTCTGGGAGGAAGGGGGACCATTCACCCCCCTGTGAGCCGTATAATTATATGTGTGCATTGTTATTTGTTTTCAGTATTTTTATAATTATTTAAAAACATTTTTTTAATGAAGTAATTAATAATATGATAACATGAACAAATCCATAGAAATTCAAATATTTTTTTTACCTATATGGAATTAATGGGTCTAGGTTTCGGGTGTTATCATTTCATTTTAGCTGCTCGACCGTTCTCTTATGATTGATTTCTAGTTACAAAATAAATGTACCTGTATACGAATGGTCTCCCATCTTTAAAGGTTAATATACACTAGTTGCCTCCCAAAAATGTTGAATAATAATAATAATTAAAAACTAAGGTAAAACATTTTAAATAAAGAATATAGTATTATTAAAATTATTAGTTATAACATTGCTTAGGATTATATTTATCATCCAAGATTTGTATGTACTCAAAATGTATTATTTTATTTTCATAAAACTTTTTATTTGAACATAAATGAAATCGATTTTGTTTCTAATTTATAATTGTCATGTGTTTTACAGGCTTATTTGAACTTTGTATTAAAATTACAGTCTCGGTATATTATATTTTCTACGAAAAGATTTGCATGCATTAGTTGTGCGCTGAATGCTGGAATTTTTCTATGCCTACAAATGAGGAAGGAAAATTAAATCCTTTGATAAATATAATATATATCTATTAAATAGTCTGCAAACGTTGTTATCTTATCATCTAAAAACTTTATGACTGCTCCGTTGCTCATGGCTAGTTCCATTGGAAACATATCTGACTTCCATTGGGTTCAAAAACGACCACCCAAATATGTACATAGATATTGTCTAAAAAAGTTAGAGATATTAGAGTTATCATTGAAATACGATTTTAAACAAATCTATATATTAATGTACTATGTTTGAAAACTGTTGAACCGTTTATGAACCAATTAAACATTTAATACCTGCCTATTGGGAAGCGACTAGTAGGTAGACCCTTTTCGTTTACGAAACTACTTTCGCTATATTTTACTATTATAAAAGAGTCCAATATTAATAGACACGGTTATTAAAAATATCGTTGAAGCTATGACGTTACTTTTTTAAGGAATTTTCTAATTTAAGAGTGGGTCAAATAATATTTTCCCCCGTGAAGGCCTAGGTACGCCACTGTATAGAGGGGCGTTATTACTTACGATATAGCTCCCCGGACATCGGCCACTTCCACGTGCACGCGATAAACATTAATTATTGTTATAAATTATAACAATAATGTTATGCATTATTATCGGGCAGAAGCGGTACCAATATTAATTTGTTGTCAATATAAAACCATTAGCGGCAATGAAACGTAATGAAATTGAAATGTTACACCAACACGCGGACCCTACGACACACGATTTCCGTAGGTACCGGCGGTTTTTCGTTCCCGGTGTTATTATAAGCCGTTGTTCCATTTCTAATCGACCCGTAGAAATATGTCGTCTCTACGATTAATATTGTTGTATGAAAAAATTATCGTAAAACACAAAACGAAATTACGGTAAATTGTATAGTGTATAGGACAGGGTATATTCTAAGGTTGAGCACTGGTTGCGATGTTGAGAACAGTAATGTGCCGTTGAAAAATGACGCATTAAGTACTGTAAAGTGTGATATAGCCAATAGGCGATTCGCTAATAAACTAACGGACACATACTTCGCACGACGGTTGTGCCATACTGTCGTAGGTGAGAAGTTGGGAAGGTAGAGAGGAAATTGATCGTATATCTGTACGAAACAATTAATTTTGAAAGGCGTAATATTTACGATTTTTCACATTTTTTTTTTTTTTTATGAAAATTGGAAACCTCTGAGAAAATCAATAAACGATCCCAGTCAAATTTCTTTTTAGAAAAAATGCTGCATATGAAAATTGAAGAAAAATTTCAGGTAGAAAGGTCGTTTCGTAATATAAACTATTTATTATATATATCTATTTGAATTATCTACCTTTAATATTAAAATAATAAAGTACAACAAATTAAATATATGATGCACATATCTTTTGATTACCATATTATAAATTACTCATTTTTTTTTTAAATATATTTAACTATCATTTTTAAATTACCCAAATCCTCAATATTCTGTACGTGTTTAAAAATGTCTTTATATAGTTTAAATATTTTGTTATTTATTATTTATAATTATTAAGTACATATACAGGTTAGGCTAGATGCAAATATCAATTAAAACTGAGGACTTAACATGTCTTATAAAAATCACTTTAAAAATATATGTATGCGTATTATTATAGACCACTATACGTGCCACTATACCATACACGTATGATGTAAGTACCTATTGCATACAAATATATATTGCCACATTTTGGAGTTTTTGAAAATTGCGTTGTTGACAAAAATTCTTAGAATATACTCTGGGTATTGTTATTATTCGAGAAAATTTAATTTACAGACACCATACATGTCGTGATTAAATTATACGACGAAATTATCAACAAATTCCGTTATCAATATAATATACGAACACTAAAATTTAAAATTAAAAAACAATGTCCAATATTTTTTTTTTTAATAACCTGAAAACAATATTATTACGAATCTTTGTTTACAAATTTTATTTCCGTTGCAATGGTCCTAATTACGATAACTTTTTATTATTATTATTCTAAATTAACATAATATATAGTGACATATTATTATGACTTCACTGAGATTCCATTGAAAATTAAAAACATTTTGTTTTATTATTATAGATTAAAATATAGTTAGGAATGTGGTACATTTTATAAAATTCACCGAGTTTTCTCTGTCATTTTTTTTCCACTAAATGTTTATGACTAATCGCGTATTGGTTCAAATAATATTATTAACTGAAATATATTTTATAGAATTAATGTGTTCGATATGTATTTTTTTTTTTTCTAAATAAATTACTTGGTATTCGAATGTTAGTGTCGAGGGATAATTTTACTAAAAACGCACGGCTAATATTATTATAATATTAATCAAATAGCTACTCTAAGTAGGTAGGTTAGATTCCTTTTGACGAGTAACTGCTAGGTATATTTTAATTGTTTTTTAATGTAATACACGACAATGGATTCCGGCAACCAAAAAAAAAAAAAAAAAACAACAAAGAATAGGTTATTAAACAAAACAACCTTACCTACCTACCTATGCTGTGAATGATTCTGTGTCAAAGTGTAATGTAACCATGAAAATTATTTATTTTTGTTACGTTATAAGTTATATACCTCCAATAATATGATGATGGGTAACAGTTTATTAAAACAAGGAATAAAACATAAGTGTAACCGTCTATCTATATTTTAGGTACTAGGTATAGGTAGAGATTTCTACAAGGGTGAGTCGTCCGGACAAGATTATGTCACACTGCCAGGCTGACCTGATATGACCTGTCTGCATTCCAAAGTGCTTAATAAGAATATTTGTAATGCTTGAGATAGTTTTGAAAAAAAAAAAAAAACACCACTCGTACACAATCTATACTTCTTAAAAGGATTTTATAGTATTTTTAATACAAATATTAGTTAAGTAATTCAAACTATAGTTATATTTATACACACACACACACACACACACGTATATATATATATATATATATATATATATATAGAATATTATAGGATTAGGTACAGGATATTATATGGCATGTTATTTTCTACCTAGATGTCTACTTCTGATCAGAAGGTTTCAGTCAAAAATATCAAAGTAAAGATCTAAAAATAGCACTTATGATGACTACTGTACTCTATTATTAAAATAATATATAAGTTTTTCAAAAGTGGTTAACCATTTACGTCATTATTGCTCCAAATATCTTATTAAAGTTTACTTAAAACATTTGTAGATGTAGGCAAATATAGAAAATGTGTGAAATTAATAAGATTAAAAAAAAAAAAGGAAACAAACCCTAATATTTAATATTAACTTAGATATGTACCTTCAAATGTAAAACTACAAAAAAGTAATATTAGGCAGGTTATCAAATATTTTAATTTAAAATATCAATTGGTTTCACTTCAATAACAAATAAAAAAAAATTAAAATACAACTCACAAAATGGGTATTACCTACTTCCTTTATTATCTATTTTAATAGAATATTACATAGGATATTAATTAATAATATTTGTTTTATTGTTGTACAAGCTGAGAGCATTTTCTTGAACATATTAATTAGATTATTATTAAGTAAATCTAATTAATTATGTAACCACTCCGATAACCATAATAATTAGATATTTGTCCAGTATTTTTATTTTTTTTTATTTTTTTATTTTGATAGTCATATTAGTAGTACCTACTAAATGAAAAAAAAATAGGTACTTTATTTGGCATATTATACAAAAATGTAATAACTATTATGAAAATTTATCTCTTTAAATTATAGGTATTTACTGACAAACTAAGTTAAAAATATTTACATTGATAAATTAGTATTTAATAATAGAAATGTATAATAACGTCTTTGATAAATGCAGTAATAAGAAAGAAGGAAAAAACAACAAATTATTGAAAAAATTAGGTCATTTTGAATTAATATTGAAGTTTTTATTTTATTAAATTAATTTATTTTAATATGTCTACATTATACAAATTTAATGGATATTAAAAAGTTTATAATAGTAGGTACATATAAAGTGGTTACATGGTTTTTTATTCAGAAAAAACATATTCAAAAACAGATTGTGTCATTTTAATACACATACCATGACTCATACCTAATGAAATATATTATAATAACGACAGAGTGTTTAAATTGTTAAACTTCTTTTAAATGAATATGTAGGTATAACCAAAGATATACTCGAGAATACACTTATAAGTATTTATAAATATACATAATAATAATATATATATACATATTATCATATATACATATACATATATATATATATATATTATCAACTATAACAGATAACAGATATATAGATATGGGAAATAAATTGTAAAATTGAACTCCCCAACAGAGCATTAATATAGAGAAAATAAGCTTGAATATAAAAACACTATACCTTATCGACTAGTATGCTTTGGGAATAAATAAAGGCACTAAGATATACTACCTACACAGATTTAATAAATAATAATTACTTTATACCATTTTTTTAATATGGGAAGAAATTGTATTAAAATCAGTAATCAATAATCGCATATCCGAAATGAGAATATTATACTCAATAAAAAGAGTTTAGTGATTACACCTATAATATATTATTGTTTATACAAGACTGAAATGTATGAAAATAGAAAATTAATATTCAACACACATAAAAGCATAACACTATTATTTCTTTTTCCTTGTGCACAGATCCAAATGGGTGTGTGTCAGAGTTTATTGACGGTGGTTCTACAGAAGTTACTAGTTACTGTTCATTTCTGGAGCATATAAAGTCATAGGTTCAAAGACCACATAGTATATTTCTCTACATTTTCTGAAATTTAATTCCCAGTATAATTTTTGTTTATAATGTGACAGTCTTTCTGAAAAAATCACAAGCATTATGTGTTATTGATTACTTTGAAAACAAACTGATGAATTTTAAATTTCCATAAATAGTAATGTATGCAGGGTTGTAGATAACCTTGTTCTATTGACTATCTATATGATATTTTGAAGCCAAATATGGTTACTGTTTAACTAAAACTTTCACATTAAAACAGTTGCTACTTACTTAACCACCAGACATTTAACTAATTTTTATCTAGGTAGGAATTAAGTAGATCTGTTTAACTAGCCAAGGTATATTATGTATAATTTGCAGTTATTAAAACTGATTTAATGTAATTTATAATTTAAATAAATAGGTAAATGATAATACCCGATGTAATCCTAACAGACTTATACAATTTCAAGAAACCCTATTTAAATTTCACCAATTACCTATTTAAAATCAATTTATGATTTTATATACATAAATAAAAACAAACAAGAAAAGATATGACAATTAATAGGCAATAAGGTTAGGGTGTTATAGTAATTTGTATATTCTTGGGATAAGACCTTGGTTTTTTTTTTCATAGATAACTAATTATGATAAAAATCAGTTTTATATACTGGAGATTAAAAATATGTAATCATTACTATGAATTAATTTATAACTGCATAACTTATAAGTGCATATTTACCCGGATACCCAATACAATTATACCTAAAATACAGTTTATAAGGTAAAAATCATAAACTAAAATTAACTAAGATTAATCCAAGGATTAATCTTAGTTCATAGTAAACAGTAAGCAACTATAAAATTGATAAAATATATTTTATATTAGATTATCAAATTTGGCATTTGATTTTAACCAAAATTTTACACACTTTAAACGATAATTACATTAAAAGTAGGTATAGCATACCCAGAGACATTGGGTTAAATTATCAGTTTTGGGTAAAGCGCAATAACAATATAATCTACAAAATCATGCTTTCGGCCACATTTTTCAACCAACTATAAAAATATGATTAATGTGAATGGTACCTATTCGATAACTTATAATAAACAACTTCAATAAAGTTTGTAATGATTATTACCTAGGTAGTTATATTTAAACCACTAGAGTAACTAACAAGGTATTTACCTAATTAATTTCAGTGTCAAGACGAAAATTGATTCAATTGATCAGCATAAATAATTTATCATCATTCATTTAATGAAAATAGATAAATGCCAACTGTCAGTTTTTAATGAAAAAAAAATTGTTGAACAGTAAATCAATGAAAAATATCAAATGTGTCATTAAACACACATACAAATAGGCTAGTGAAGTACATACCTAATATCATTAATATTAGTATAAGTTTTAAAATATGTCTAGATAAGTAATGGCAATAAAAAATACATTAGGTACCTAAACTTTGATTTAGGAATGTTGTTTATGAAAAATATACTTATGTGTAGAGAAGCCTTATTGAAAAAGCTTCAGGTATAAATAGATATTTATTGAAACTACCTAATTGAATTGTAGTAATGGCATTTATGAACAAAGCGGGCAAATGAGTAGGTATATTAATATTAGGTATTATTGAGTTGAAGGATTGGAAAAATTCATTGTTGTCATCGACAATATTCTTTGCCGTTAAAATAGGTACTAATTTAGTAATATCGTGACTAATGTAGGTTTCACTACTAAGTACCTCTGTACTTTTGCTTATGAATATTAAACAGTTTAGAGACTCAAAAATATGCACTGTCCCTGAACTGTACACCAGCATACCTTATCAAAAATTTCTCAGTAATTTTGATAGTAAAAATAATATAAATGATACAATTTAATCTTCTTAGTAGATAAGTGTTCATACTGGTACCCATGTAGGGCTATGGACATGTACAAATTAACACTAGATGCTTAAGTACTTACATATATCAGTCCAGAATAGTAACGGTCCTTGATGTTGTGTAATACGCAGGCTTCGTTGAGACATGTCAACTCGGCCATGTCTTCGCTTTTATCGAACTTGGGCGGATTCATCTTCTGGATGACATCCTTGTCGACGAGTGTACGCTTGCCAGTTTCCACGATTTCCACCTCGACTTCGTCTCCACGTTCGCCTTTGATGCCGGCAGACACGAAGCCTTGGCTCTCGTGCGGCACCCAAACCAGACGTTTCTGGGTCCATTCTGCCTGCGTAGGTTGATCGTTGAGCTGATTTCGATCAACGGCCAGATATTTCATGAACGGATCGGAACGGTCGGCGTCCATATCCATGGTTGCGGCAAGAATTTCGCGGTACACTCGCGAACGTTCACGCGCGAGCGGAACGCGGAAGAAAACAATTAAATAAAAGGAAAATAGGAGTAATTTGGATTAGCAAAAAACAAAGATTTTAGCGTTAGTTGGCATCCAGCTACAGATAGTACTAGCTGTTGCTACCGCTGCGCCGCATCTGTGTCCGCGGTTTACGAGCGTGTCGCTGGGGGGGCTCACGATATTAATATTATGTCAACAAAACTGATCTTCGATCAACGTCAATCGGTAGTAAAAAAAAAAAAAAAAAAATTGTAAAAAATTGATTATAAAATTATTATTAAGTGCTGTTAGCGTTCCTCTGACGACGGTTCGCGGTGTTCTGACGGTTGTTGTTGCACACGAGTCGCGACGGCGGCGTTGGCACCGGCCGATTACGATGAAGACTACGAGAGTACGAGAAGACTCGGGGCGGTGTGGGCACCGTACGTCCTGGGAGAAGCCGTTCTTTATTACGCGCTGCTGCTCGGTGGGACGACGACGGCGGCGGCGGCGACGGGAGCCACACACGACACGCCGATAAACATAACCAACGGGCGATGACGTATCACCGAGTACGCGGTATTACAATAACATCATGTAGAGAAGTCGACCGGCGCGCGTGCGCGCGAACTCACGAAAAAGTGAAAAAAAAAAAAACCTAACAACCAGTCTTTACAGGCTGGCCACGGTCCGGGATCACGAATTTCCCTCGGACCGGGCCGGTTGGGCGATGCCGGATTTTGCTGAAAAAACAATAAGAATACGCTCTACAAGAATAATATTAATTAATTATTAGTCGAAATCAATCAAACAGCTCCTTGATAGAAATTATTGTGTTTCTTATGCAAACGAATTATGAATGATTAATGGTGGGTATATAAAATTTTGAATTCTGAATTACCATTCGGCTAATTATCCAGAGGTGCTTTAATTACCTACGTGTAGGTAATTAAAGATAGGTATCTATATCGGATAAACGAAATAACGGATTGTCAACATCATCAAATTACTAGGTAGGCAGGCTACTAGGTTAATTGGATTCGTAAACTCATTTTTGATTTTTCATTGGCGGTACTTACGATGAGAAAATCAGTTAATTTCGTTAATACCTTAATAAGCAAATAATTGTAAGTGTACAATTATCTATCCCAAAAAATTTTAAAATGTAATCTTAGTGGTTCAATGAGTTCCTCGGGTTGAGTTAATAATAATGCTCAACAAAAAAAAAATGTTAAAAATTGTAATCACAAAAATAACATTGTTCCTATAATATAGTTTCGGACACATTGCGTAGGTACCTACTTGGCAGAATCGTAAAAAACATCTCACATTTGATCATTTCAGACTTACGACAAATTTTTTTTTCAGCGTAGCAGTTAATCATTTTTTGGATTTAAGCCACCATATTTTACGTTTTCACTCCGTCTCCGATGTTCATCCGACTGATTTCTAATTATTATAACACGTATGCGTTTTTATATGTGTAGTGTGTACCAGTAGTTTGGAACTTACAATAGATGTAACGCACAAATATAGTATCCAGATAATACTTACAGTATTTCTCTCTTCTTACACTTTTCGAAATGTTCCATTTATATCATTAGTATCTAAGTACCTATTTGTAAAAGATTTTGTTTATTTGTTGAATAAATATTCCATTAGTGGGTGAAAGGCCGGAACCAGGGGGAGGGGTGATTTATCCCATTCCACTAAAATGTTTAAAGAAGTCTTTACATATTTTTGTTATGTACCTATATTTACTGATAAATATAGATATTTAATTACATTTTTGAACGGGTGAGTTTTATATTTTATGAATATTAGGATATGAAGGGTTGGAAGAACACTACATAGAGCGTATGCTGTATAGTATTTTTTACCCCCCCCCCATTTTTTAAATTTCAAGTTCCAGCATTAAGCAAGTATGTGTTGGAACTAAGAACAACCACAATTTATTGCCTATAAATTAAACAAAATTTAATTCGGATTCCATAGTATAGATAACATACAGATTCAAAACAAATTATTCACTCAAGTTTTATTCCTCGTAAACCGTATCTGTAGTAGTATTTTGCATGCGGTTTCATCGAATCGTAATACACTAAAATGTTAAGTTGGTCAATTTTAAGAACTTGATAAGTATTATTATAGGTTGATATTTATTAGTCTTTCATTAAGTCGTTTAAGTCGATTTAGTTGCCTATACAATGAAAACTGTTTATTTCAGTAACCTGCAGTCTTTCTTCCATACCTACTTATATATTTTGTTGCTTGTAAAATGCCATTTTCATTATTTAATTAAATTTCAAAAGTTTATATCTCCAGTAGTTTTAATTAAAATAAAATAGAATCATATTATGACACATTGATAATGAATATGAAAAAAAATTTAAAAGGTTCAACCTATACAATACTATGTCACCCATGCATTTAGCATTTAGCTTTATTAATATAGGGAAGCGTGTTATACATGTCAAAAAAAAAAAAAAAAAAAAAAAAAATTAAATAATTCATTAGGATAATTACTTTTTTTTCTTCACAAAACCATTATAATAGGAAATAGTATATATTATAATTTATATTAGCTTCTGTTTGATATTTGGCTATTGGTCATAAAATATAATTATTATATTATTAGTATAGCTAATATCTTTTAAATTATAAATACTTCTTATATTTTCTATTGCAGCTAATTAATAAATAACGTAAAAGAAAAAGTATTACACAATTAAAAAATATAATACTGCTTCATTTAATTCAAATATTATGTTTGATAGTTATAGTGTTGAGGGTAAGTGATTATTCCTCATTAATACCAGCAAACAACATATCTCCAATTATTTACTCGTTAGTATTGAATAATCAAATTAAATTTATTAGAGTATTCACATTTATACAATTCAACTACTTTTCTTTCTTAATTATCATATTCCATTATACGTATCTTTCCACTGTATTCTTTGTCATATGATCTACATTCTACAACACTTGTAATCTATACTGCATTATTATTATTTTTTTTTTAAGTGTGGTTACTTAATATTAACAGCTATGTTTCCTTTTTAAATGTTCCTTTATAAACTAAATTTAGAGGTATCCAATATATTTTAAACAAGAAAAACTAAATATAATTAATTAGTTGACTAAAACAGTGACTACTGTGTCTGAATATTTGAAACTGAAATTCACTATCAATTAAATATGAATACGCTACTTATTTTCATTGAATTATACCATGCTAAATTATAAAATTAATACCTACTAAATATTATTTATAACAATAAAGGTTGGAAACTTCTAAGTCCTTTAACTATAAGAGTTAAAATAAAATATTTACAAAAGAAATCTCTAATAGGTATGTAAATGATATTGGGGATAAGAGCGCCACTGTTGTAGGTGGAAAGTCTGGAAGGTAGGTTACATAAAGTTATTTGATTTATACCGGTAAGTAACAATAACTAATTGCCAATGAAAAACAATTCAGAGCAAATTTCAGTTGTACGTGTTTTGAAAGGCAATAATATTTATGATTTTCGTAAAAAATTTGCTTTTAAAACTTATAATAAAAAAAAAAAATACAATACAATATTAAATTTTTTTTTGACCACTCAATACGATTTATGAACCTCCTATCAAAATTTTAATTATTCCTATTTAATCTAACGAATATCTACAGAGTATCTACAAATAAAAATTAAGCAAACATACAAAGCACATTTTTTTTCAAAATGTAAAATTTCTACAAATATTTTTAACTAAATTATAATTCAATACATGTTTTTTTTGCTTTTGCTTTATTATTAAAAAAAAGTAAAAGGAAAATCAAAAAATCAATTTTCTTGGGTCATCAACAAAATGAAAAATGCAACAAAAAAGGACTTTGGTTGTTTTTCTATTAGAGCAATATTTATGGTAGAAAGCATAAGCCGTATATTTCTTTTGTTTTCTATCTTTTTCAGGTTTTCCCCGATTTTCCCAATTAAAATAAAAATTACTTAGAAAATTAAAGAATGATTTCTCTTATTCATCAACTAGATAAAATTTTCTTTCAGAAAAGATGCTACACTTTATACATCGGAGGAAGATTTGTCTTTGTAATTTTTACACATTGAAAAAAAAATTACACATGGTAAAATCAGTAGATCCCTTGTTACGCTTCAAATCTAAAACTATCTAATGTTAAAAGCACGAAAAAATTATTATATTTAAAATATGGCGAAAACCTGTTGACATTTTATTGAACTGAAAAATTGATACATAAATTCCAGATTTTCAGATAATGTCAAAAGTAAATATTTAAACTATCTATTATATAGCATACATTTTTAGCTTTGTATGTTACGCATTGAGAATATTATATAGAACAATATGAAACTCCTACAACTTTTGAGTACTATTTATTGGTAATAATTTAATAACTAAAAAATATAACTAATAAGAAACAAATTTATGTATAAATATAAACAACTAGTTAAATTATTGGATATGAATATTTAATAAAAATACATTAACTACTAAAATATTAAAATGAATACTTATTTCAATTGTTTAAGTTTTAATTATTACAAGTATTGTTCTAAACTAGATTTGTTTCATATAAAGTAAAAAAAAAAAAAAAGAACAATTTAAGGACTAAAATTTAATAAACTATTTTTTTTTTTTAAAATAATGGTTTTCATTTATAGATAAACCCTAAAATAGATTTGTTAACAATTTGTAAATTATGGAATTTTATACTTTTTAAATTTGTATTATGAGATTTATGATTGAAATCATTTTAATCTTCTAATGTAACATTTTTAAATAGATATGACATTGATTCTTTATTATGAATTCTGCGAATGGCCTCAGATAATAAAATACTTATATCCACAGTTTTTATTTTATGGCACTGCATTTTTTGGATTTCATGAGGAATTGTATTTGTTACAACCACCTATAGTGAAAAAATGAAATAAATATATTTTCTAAATTTTAATTTTATTTCAGTATTAACAACAATTACCTCGTCAATTGGCGAGGCTTCAATAAGTCTTGGAGCGTCAGAAGACAAAAGACCATGAGTGGCCAAAACATAAATTTTATAAGCACCACGCTCTTTCAATACTTCAGCAGCAGCTACAAATGATGCGACATCGTCAACCATATCATCCTGTGAATAAAATAGTTTTCTGTATAAGTATTTTATAAAGATTGAGATTTGTATTCTGGAGAGTTTACTGATTTTGGACAAACGAGGCAATATTTATTTTCAATAACATGTTCAATTAACTTTAAATAGTTAAAATGTTTTATTATTATTAGCCTGAAAATTACAATTTTTAAACTGTACAGTATTTAAACTATGACAGTTTACAGCTTTTTTACTGACTATAAGTTAAATATAAATTCAAAGTAAGTGTAGTTATTAAACTTTTTTAAGACAATTCAACATGAAAAAAATAACCATTTCTACCTGGGTCTGCTTATAAAACTTGCAAAATTCAAAATTTATTCACTAACCACCATAATAGCAATACGGCCACCAACATCTCCCACTACATTTATGGGAGGTTTTTCTTTGGCTGGATGTTGTGGTACTCCAACTCCAACATCCATTGTTCTCGAACGAGAAGTTGATGGTGGTGGAGAATTACGCCCGTCAACCATATCAGAATCAGATTCTTTTTGTTCTCCATGAATGACTGCAATTCCTAAGCGTAAACGTTCAGCATAAGAAGTAGCTTTTTTTGCTGATCCTGGATTTCTAGCCACTATTACAGCATTACGATAATCAGGGATCTATGGAAATAATAAATGTATAATTATTTTTTACAATCTAAGCACAGTGAATAATGTATTTGTTCTACTATTAGGAAAAACCAGGAAAAAATTAGGATTATGGCATTAGGTAACGCTTTCATAAGTTTTGTTACTGTTTTATTAAAAATATTTGTAGAAACCTGAAATTTGCACATATTATTTATATAACACTTAAGTTATAAATATTACTGCTTTTCAAATCATGTATGAGTAAATTTCACTCATAAACATATTTTGTCAGCAATGATTTATTATTGTGTACAAATATAAATTAAATAACTTTATGTATCCTGCCTTCCTAAAATTTCACCAACAACAGCAGTACGCCTGTCAGCAGTGTTAGCTTTTTTGTTTTTAAATATTTATTTATTTAATAGTAGATTTTATATTTATCTTATAAATAGATGATAATTGACTTACACATTCTTGAATGTACTGTAAAAGAAATGGTGATGCTCTCAAATTATCAACTGGACATTCAAAAAATCCTTGAATTTCTTTTTGATGAAGATCCATTGTGATAACATGAGTTAAACCTGATGAACATAACATCTTTGCTAAAAGTTTGGACACAATAGAACCGCGTTTTCGCATTTTACCTAAAAACAATTAATTAATAGGTATTGTAGATTACTTATTATTAAGATTTGTGTAAAGTAATAAATTTATTTACATTGTTTGCTGTAGGGAAGATAAGGAATGACTCCTACAATGCTTTTGGCTGATGATGTTTTGCATGCATATGCCATGATCAAAAGTTCCATTATGTTATTATTTACATCCCTAAAATAATTTCATAAAATGTAATGGAGATTAATAATATTAATTATAAATGGCTAATTAATATAATTAACATAGAATAAATTATAAACATAAATTAATCTCTAAACATAAGTTATAATGTACTTATTTTTTTAAAACTATAAATAAATAGAGTTTTGATGAAAATTTGCATAATATTTTACAATAATAAATTTGATTATTATTAATAATTATTGTCCAAGATGTTAATATTTTTGTTATTAATTGAATTTCTTAATACAGTTTTATCATACAAATACAATATTAATAATTGGATTTCTTCAAGAATTACATTTTATACATTTGAAGTGTAGTTAAAGTTTTAAAGAAACTGTCAATAAAGTAATTAACATGAGAAAACAGATGTGTAAGTATACTTAAAAAATAGGTATTTACATTTTAAAATGAAATAGTAATAAATAAAATAAAATTTGGCTAAAAATAAGTATTTTCAATATTATTAATATTAGAAGTTATTTAGAAGGGCCAAAACTGAAAGGCTTGGTGGAAGTTACGCCTCAATAATTATTGTACTCAATTTTTTTACATAACTGTTTAGTATGATAAAATATTTTATTGTTCTGTCAAATGTTTAAGAGTTCAGTTAGGTATGAGTTTAAATCTAGCAACCTTTAGCTAAAACTCGAGAATTTATAAAGAGAAAATAATTTTTAATTTATATAACATTCTGTAACTTCTAATTTGTTGTGGCATTTATATGCCAATGCTCTGTTTAAATGTTTTAATGTGCAGTTTAAAATTTTAAACTTATATACTGATAGTTTATTTGCATATAAATTGGATTAAAAATCATTTAGCATATGAAGCAATTTTAATTGTAGAGACCACTAATAGATTAAAAAACAAAAAAACAGGTAAATATTTTATTATTAAGAGCACAAGAAATATTATCGGTTACATCTAATGAATAATGTTAGTTGATAAGAACAATTAACAATAATTGACAAAGTTAATTGGCAATGATAAACCTAAGAATTGTTTTGGTGCCAGTGTTGTAATAAAATATTAATATTGTGGCTGTATTTATCACATAAAATTGTTTGATGTGATACAAAGCCAATCTATGCCACCACCCAAATGGTAAGATTAGTAATGTAATTAATTTTAAATAATTAAATAGGTATGTACAGAGTGGTATGAGTGTTTAATATGTAGGTTAGTTCAAGTATTTATGCAAGTAATTTTGTCCTAAATAGGTTTTTTTTACATTATATTGATACTGAATAAGGTTTTATGAATATATTTACATTATGAATAATAAAAATAGATTTCTAGAGTAAAATGAAAATACAATATGGGCTAAAGGCAACTTCAGAAAATTGAACTATGTGAACTTTGTAATATACAAATTAATTGTAAACCTATATAGTATAATGAATAAGAGTTATTTATTTAAATAGAGTTATTTTTAAAACATTACAGATGGTGCACTATACAATGATAAAATCACTTTGATGCTTGAAAAAAAAAAAATTAAACAAAATAAAATATAATATCACCTTTGATTGAGTATAAGTACCTATATGAGTACTTTAATAGATTTATTGTAACCAACTAAAAAATACATAAGTAAGTATTTTTAGTGAACTTAGTAGCAGTTGTAGATAGTAGCACAAGTGTTTGCAAACCTTGATAATTGAGCATTTTAGTTTTAAGTTGTAATCAAAAGTAGTTTGTTTTAGTAAATGTGTTAGCGTGTTTTGCATACTTTAAGATAAAAGTATTCATTTTAACAAACACCTAAATAGTTATACAGTATTATGTGTATTTTCAACCATTCATAACAAATATTAATAAATTTATAATGAACATTAAAGATTATTTGTGGATTAAATTTTGCATAGATAATAGATATACATACTTCGAACCAGTTTGAATGATATAAATATCTTTTCCACGTACAGAATCACTGATTTGAACGGACGTTTCTCGATTTGTAGTATAAGAAACGGCACAACGAGCCGGCTTTACTCCAAGTCGACTACACGAAAAATATTATAAACATAACATCAATTTAAATTTTCTATTAATTCCGTTCAGATGATTACCGGGCGACCAAATTGGCTAGTTCGAGGTGCGAATTTCCACTAATTATCATGATGTCCGTTGATGCGGTAATGTCCATGGCGTTTTATTTTCACTTTTATTCGAAATATTAAAAATTATTACTGCAATAACAGTATGAAATCGATGAGCACGACAACGGAACTACACCCGCTGCGATCGTCCCTAAAAATAAGTAATAACCAATGCGCAGATAATATTGAATATTTATGTATGTAATAATAATATTAAAATTAAACAGACAGCAAGGTTTGATCAATTTGAAAAAAAAAATTGATAAATATTTTTTTTATCAACCAGTCAAAGACGTTGAATATTTCTTAGAGAGATAATAACAGCGGCACTACTTGTTGATTATTATTATTATTATTGTTGTGTTCGTGAGATGACAATGTTTTAATTAGCTTATGCTGATTATTATTTGTTAGTCGGTAATCATATTGCGATTGCAGTAAAATAAACTCAGTTGTGCTCGAATTGGCAAAATAAAAGTTTTGGGGGAATCTGTTTTAAATTTTTTATCTCTAATTTAGTACTAGTATTATAGAACCACATAATTATTTAGATCAATAATTAGCTAATGACGTTTTTTTTTTCTAAATGACGAATTATTAATTGAAGAGCTTGGAACAACAACCAGATAGATTCACTTTTAAAAATAAATCTTTTAAGATGAATAAAAATCTTTTTTTTTCAATGACAAAAAAATTAAAAAAAATGTTTTAATATCTTTTAATTATAATTAATAATAGCAATATTTCTAAAAGGAAATTTCACTAGCGAGATACTTTAAAGAGTTCTTTTTTCGTTTCAGGAATTTTATCATCAAATTTGTAAACCTGAAAAAAATCGGGAATATATAAGAAATGTAGGTATTAGTTAAAATATATTACGGCCTTTTTTTCTTCTATGCACTACTTTTCAACCAGCAATTTTGCTCCAAATTTTAATGATAGTAAAGTTTCTAAAAAGAAATTTCACTACGGAAGTACTTTAGAGAGGTCATTTTTGATTTTCCCAATAGTTTTCCCAGCAAATGTGAAAAACCGGTATAAAACATGGTAAAACCGGGAAAAACTTAGAAAAACTGGGAAAATTGGTACAACTTTAAACAATTATATATTATATATATAATATATTGTTGATAAAGCATCAATATCAACTGAACTCAGCTCAGAATCGTTGTTTCGTAAGCAATGGTTTATCGTTGCTTACAGATATACATTAAAACCCGGCCTATATCCTACCTTCCTAACTTCCCACCTACACCAGTAGCTGCACCCGTCTTTATTATCTTACCTTTTTTATATTATAACCCTCCCATATAATATTAGATGTCAGTGGCTTGTCGGGATATTAATTTTAAATTCATTAGCTTAATTTAATTATTATATCTTCGATTCGTATTATTCTTTTTCTCTGACTATTTTTTAGTAACAATCTGTATCATTGTCCTATGCTATTTTCAAAGTCCTTTTATTTATTTTAAATTTACTCCCTAATAATTATTTAATAGCCTTTGATTCCTATGTCTTTGTTTTTAATCCCTAGAATCTAATCTCTTTAATTTTAAATTATTCCTTCTCGTTTTTTATATTAAATCACATATCTATTATTTCTATCAATCGAACCGCTAAATTTAACTTATGTGGGTCCCTAATACAATTCTAAATTCCCTAATCTACTTCTAATACAATTTTACCTATCTTTGCTCAAGTACCTTGGATCGATTTTACCCCAATCTAACGTAATACAATCACCATATTTTGGTCCAACTACTGAAATAATCTGCCAGCTAACTTTGCAACCAAATATAAATCTTTTGTACCCAACATCCCTAATAAAAAAAACTTGGTTTAACAATTTAGATTTACCAAGATCTACTATTATCCGTTTTAACCGACTCCGCGGGGATTATTCGCTTCTACCCAATCACACCTATAAACGTGATTTAAATGACTCTCCTATTTGCACACTACACATAACTGAGAATGTTTGTGAATTTTCGCATTTACTCTTAGACTGTTATACTAAACGTATAATTTTGCTCAGTTACCTGAAATCTCTCAACATTCCCCTCAACCTCTTCTCCATGTGCTCAACATTAAATATGAAGTGGTCATCAATAAGATAATCAATTTTGTATTGTGACCTGGTTTCGTTGTTTAATATTTAGGTATCTATTATTTTCTCTCTGTCATAGTTTTGTATTTAAAATAATTGTCAAGCTATATTAGTCACTGATTAAAAGTTAGTAGGTAAAAACATAACCCCTTCCTAATTGATCTAAATTTTAAAACTGCAGTTATATAATTCATACAGGGTTGTATCTGTGGATGGGCGGAGGGGAGGTGAGGGGGAACAACACACTCACCTCCCCATACATAATTATACTGCCCATCGGCCGTATAATTATATGTGTGCATTTTTATTGTTTTATTTTGAATTTTTTTTTTTAATGAGGTAATTAATAACATAATAATATGGCCAAAGCTATAGATATTAAATAATTTTTTTAATCTATGATCAAATCTGGTCAAAGTTTCTAGTGTTATCATTTCATTTTGGCAGTTTACCCGTTTTTAGTTTATAATAATTCAATAAAAAGATTTTTTTAGAGCATATTTTAATGCATGGTTGATTTGTAAAGCATATTGGTATGCATATTCACATGTTTTTTGGAGTTGAAAGTCCCTAAACATATTATTATCATCGATTACGCATATTCTATATATTTTAGGGGGCCGTAAGTAAGATCAGTAAGTATTTTATAGAATACTTTGACGCAGAGAGTCATTGACCTAAACAAAATAATTGTATAATAAAATATATATTTATACACTGCAGTAATAAAATAATAGTATATAAAAATTACATTATAATAATAACACGGTATCGGCGGTAAATTGTTATAATATTATAATATGTACTTCATTAAAATATATAGTTGGGTATGTAAGTATATTATGATGCTGGTGGACATGAATTACGTCCGTGATAGATAATTATTTTCGATTCTTTACACGACTCCAAAGACTTATTAATATACCTGTATATAATGTAATTATGCATGTAGATAATGGTGTTTTAATTTTTTTTTCAGTTACCACTCAGTTATACTTACCTATTTAAATAATTTGATAACGATCAACAAAATAGTATGCGATAAGATGAGCTCATAATGAATTAAATTTGCACAGTAAATTTGATCGCAGGTAACATTTTATAAACCACATCACGTTTTCTGAAAATATTATAAACGGAGATTAAAAAAATAAAAACATTTTTATAAAATGTGCTCGTCATCTAACAATATTTGTGTATAAGGACCTGATATTATAATCTCCATCAGAATGAAACACGCGTCCTTTGAACCTTTTTTATTACTCCATCTATTATATTACGTCAGACACGTATGTATAGTCAATGGGCCTAACCAAGTCATCGTGAATCTAGAAAAAATGTCTGGAAAAAAATATTAAATAAAATATTCATTGTAAAAATGTTCATGTAAAAAGCAAAAAAATATTAAAAGAAAAATGTATAATTAAAATTAAAAAAAAAATTGCAATAATATATTATAATCATCATATTTTCCAGTTGATCTGCGTTTTTTTTTTCTGTCTGTAGTAAACAATTTTTTGAAAAAAAAAAATCTTGCTCCGATGTATAGAGTATAGTATCTTTTCTGAAAGGAAATTTTGTCTAGTGAGTGCATTAGAGAGGTCATTTTTTATTTTCCAAGGGGTTTTGAAATAATTAGGAAAAACCCGTAAGAAAATTATAGATAAAACGGCAAATATCTACGGCAGGAGTTACCGATTTCATTATTTTTAATTTTTGCAAAGAAATATTACTTCAATAGAAAAACGGCAAAACACCTTTTTTATTGAATTTTATTTCAAATTCTTATTTTTCTTGTTTGTGACTGAGAAAGTCGTCTATTGATTTTAGTTTTAGTTTTTTTTTGATAATTTAGTAAAACCAAAAAATACATAGAATTGTTGATAAGTGGAAACATTAAGGTTAATGTAGTATTTTTTTATTTTGTAATAAAGTTTTGAAATCGTAAAATTGTAAATCCTACGGTTTTTCAAAACATATTGTGCAATCGAACTTCGCTTCGAATCGTTTTTCGTTAGAAACGTTACAGATATAAATTAAATACATTTATGTATTTTACCTTCCTAATTTTTCACCTACAATAGTAGCACAACCGTTAGCAGTATCAGCTTTTTTCTTTTGGTATTTTTTAATCCGGACGTTTTGGTAGAATACTGGTCATCACAATCACTTCAATAATAATTTAAACATTTCTCAAAAAATTGCTAAAGTGTGTTTATCACGATTGAAACAAACTATCTAAAAATTTGATTAGACATGGTATAAACTGCTATAGTATTATTAATCGGTTATAAATAATTGATTTTGAATAATTTTATGTCTTAATTTTATGAGTCTTGCTCTTTTAAATAAAAAATAAACATCATAATTTTACTATTCTACAAGACTTGGAAGTTTTTCCCGGGAGGCATTTTTTTTGTTAAAAAAATACGGTGGCTTCATCTATTCTAGCCCTCCTCCCAAATGGTATCAAATTTCCTCCTAAACTTTAGATATGAAACATTTATTGGTGATTAATGTTTCACTCCTTCGTCCCTCTCAGGGACGCACCTGTTTGAAATGTGCAGGTACTATGTAAAAAAGGTCAAAATTAAATGTGGATGAAAAGAGTAGGTGACAAAACAGAAAGTACATTGATATGAACACAATGAAGGAAAAACGAGAACTTCGATTAAGCGCTAAAGTCAGAAGGGATAAAATGACAGCTATCTATATCCTGTGTCAAGATATTTGAAGAGGCAGACCAAGGACATGAAAGAAATTATGATAGATATAAGGATTTAAAAGAATTAAGTTATACAGGGGGTTATAATATAAGTTATACATATACAGGGGGTTTGGGTTTCAACTCCCCCGAAAATTATTATTTGTGTAATTTATTTATGTCAATTTAATATTTTTTTTATAAATATTGATTATTGTACATTTTTTATGATCACCCCCCAATCTTGTTTTGTTTACATGCCCGCAGTGGCTTATATCGTGAGATTAAAATTTCGGACTATCACATAATTGTAAATATTGTAACCTATATAGGGTAATGATAAAATAACATTAGTTAATATTCTACATGGGTACTTACACCGTTGAATGTATAATAATTCGGTTATAATTTTTAATCAACAGTTGTACCTATATATTATATTTTAATAATGATTAGGTATGTGTGGGACGTGATGATAGCGATATTAGGTATACGTAACAAAATAAAAAATATAGTCATTATTATTTATTACCTATTACATATATATAACCGGTTATTGATTTTTTTTTTCACTAAATACTCTAAATATATTATATATAGCCATATAGGTATATGAAAACGTTTGATTCCGCCGTACCTATCTAATAATAATAATAACTGCAACAGGAATAAGGACAAAGAACCGAAGAGGAGGGAAATGAGAATACATACTTTGCTGAATAAACGTATCCGTGGAAGAAATAAAAAATACCAGAATGTATCGTAAAATGTATAAAGTTATATATAAAGTTATAAGTACCGACGAAAAATCCGCGCGTCTTTTATGGTCCATTGTGAAACAACTTGAATCGTTTTTACTCATCATTAAAAAAGGAAAAAAAAAAACAAACCAAATCATCTTGGTAAAACTGTATAATAGATTTTTCGGTATGTTCAGAAACTAAAATAATTAAATACTAATTTTTAAGTATTGGTATAGTTTGGACTCTCAGAGCAAACCCCCCCCCCCCCCGTGGATATAGGTTCCTGGAACGTGAGAATTGTTGTTTATAAATCCTTTATGGTGTTGCAATAATTCAGTTTTTATCGCGGTTTCAGAAATCATGTCTATTTAGAGTAGGTAATGATATAGGTAATGGTAGGTAATAATGCATCATCCTACAATCATCATCCGTCCGAAAACATGATTTGAAACTCAAACTTTATACTGACTACTCTTAATATATAAAGATTTTCAATTAACGTAAAATACTTATTATTTTATTAAAGTATAATATTGACTTTTTCCAAAAATTGTTTTCGACAATTTAAGAAACAAGAAGTTCGTTAGTTTGCCACAATTGCATTATTTTTCGTCACCCTTGTTTTTGGGAGTGAAACAATAACTACTTACTTTTGATTTTTAAATGACAATCTACATTAAAAATAAATCATCCTGTTTTATAATATTATGAGCGGAGCTATATTAAAACAACGACGCCAGCGAAATTTCGTCTATCAGGATGTCATTGATCCATATAGCTATTGTGTTATCGTATATTGCGTTACTGGTATAATAAATAAATAGCCTTGCGTACTCTCTTTCTTTTTTTTTTTTTTGTTCGGAGGTGGGAGTCGTCATTATTACATGTTGTTTAAGAAATGTATAAACTGCATATTATTGCATTGTTTATTATCCAATATGTTTTTTTTGTTAATAGTAATATTGGTCCAGTGACGTATTATTATCATTTATTTATTTAGTAGCTGTAGAATAATAAATGGGCGGCTTGTCCACCTACTTATTTATCGTCCGCGAGCGCTAAGTTGGTAGTACGCGGCGCGACGCCAGTTGCGACCCTACGCGCCGGGCTTTTGAACGCGCGCGCCGCCGCCGCCGCCGCCGCCGAACCGTTGCGACCCTCCAATCGTTAGCGCCGGATAATGCACCCCGCTGGGGTGGGAAGGTGTGGATGGGCGCGCGGAACGACGGCGGCCCTCGGGTGCGTAGGCGCCGGCGGCGGCCGACGGACGGTCGGGATTTTCCGCGCGACGGGACTGTAGAATATTATACGGGAGTGGACTCCGGTGAAAAATCAATGCGCGCGCCGTTATCATCTCGCCAAAAACTACACCTCCGTCGTATGATAATATTATAACAATTGTTTTATAAAATAATAAACAAATTTCCGACGATTGACTCGTCTCATCGACATATCAGTCATCCGCACACCGTCGGTTGTTTGTGTGTGTTTTTTTTTTTAAATTATTCGCCCGCTCACATCCGATACAATATTATTACAATATATTGATTGTCTATCGTGTGCACTGTCCGCGTTCCTTTGGGCCGATCCGTTATCGTTTTCCAACAAACCGCAGACGTGTGTATTAAGTATCGGAATAATGGATCCGGGTCCGCAAGCTTACGGTGCCGGCAAAGTCGGCGGCCAGTTCAACATACAAAACTTTGTCCGCAAGCCTCACGTGTTCGTCAGACTGTTGTCGCTGGTGAGTAGGCGGAACGATATTATTACTCGTTACAATATCATATGCTTGCGTCCTTTAAGTGGGACAGCGGTCGCGCCTTTATAGCAATACATAATCGTATCACAAACACTGTTATTGTTAAACAAATATAGTCGAGATTATCGATGCTGCAGACATTTCGGCTACCCCGCTATACACAGACTTGGCATTTTTTTTTTTCCAGAAAATTTTACTGAACCGTTGGGGTGTTATGACCCGCCTAGAAAATGTCGTCTTCTTTTCCCTCGCCGCTACCCCGTAACGCGCTAAAATGTTTAAACATATAGGTACACTGTGTAGGCTAATGTCGATTTTCGTTTAAATTTGACTTTTTGGTATTTTAAAATTGCATAGACATTTTATTTGATCATATTTTTTAGAAAAGCTAGAATAATGAAATGTGTAGTATAAAGAACTAATCTTTGCACGGGTATGTTTTTCGATAGAGGAATCCAAACTATTTTTTTTCATTTACCTAAATTTTGTGTAACAAATATAAAATCGAACCAAATTCATACGTTTAAAGATCACTAAAACCATATAGCTACGAAAAAAAAATCATTTTAATTTAACCTTACACAGCAACATTAAATCTTTTGATCGAACGGGAAGTGAGTAAACGACTGATATAATAATATCCGAGATACTTGACGGCTAACGCCCTTACGGCAAAAAAAAAAACGTAAAAGTCACTTTATATTGTAAAACCGTCTACTTTTTGCTGACAAACCAATAATCTAGTACTTAATAATAAATCTCACAGTTAAAAAATATCATTTCACCAAATGAATAACATTTTCTACTAGGCACCACCCCAGATGTTGATAATTTCCGGTAAATCAGTTGTTTACAAAAAAAAGCACCATACATCGTACAACAAATACAACAAAATAGCTGATACTGATGATGGGTATGCTACTATTGTAGGTGGGAAGTTAAGAAGGTAGGTAACATTATGTTTTTTTTTGCCAATTATTAAGAAAATTACGAAAATAATCAAAAATCGACTTCTTAATGAATCGATTAAACAAAATATTCTTACAAAAAATATGGTACACTCGAAATTTGAAATTAAATTTCTGATAGAAAGACAAAATCGAAAATAATGAAATCGCTTTGTTCGTTTTCCTCTGTTTTTCTTAATTATTAAGAGGGCGTCACAAAAACGTTTTCTGTTTCTGTCTATCTAATGAGCATTATAAAAAAAAATATATTTTCATATTTCCAATAGTATTTAGAATCTATTAAACTTAAAAAAGTTCCATGAAGCTCTAACAGTGAAATACATTGTTACGTACAATTTTTCTAATGTGGTAAAACAATTGAATTTTGTCTTTTATATTACTTACTTTCGGTACACTATAAATATTTTTTGTTTTACAGAATTTCTTACAGAAAATATAAAATTGTTTATTATACTAATAATTATGTATCACACATATGCATATCATAATGAAATTACAGCAATTATATTACTGTATACTGACACTTAATCAATTAGTATTAAAAATCTTTGTTTTTACTGACCATTATAAATAAAAGAAAATTGTTAGGTATACACACACACATCTACTAATGCGTAGACATACCAAGATAACTATGGATTACACCAGAGGTTCCCAATCAGGGTGCCGCGAAATTATTTGAAATATTATTTATTTTTTTTTAAAACGACTTCATGATAAATATAGCACTGTGAGTAATAAAATAGACTATAGTATAAAACCTATTGGGTATAACTAATTATATACAATATAATTTAATTAATTAATTATATAATACATAGTAATATTGTGATGTTCAATCTATTTTAATTTCCATACTGGTTCGATTGCTATCGTTTCGATGTGGACTGTTACGAAGTTATCACTCTACCACTTATTTACGATGAAACACTTGTGACTTTATCTTATCTTTATTGTTTATTATTAATATGTACCGGTAAAATAATAAATATTCGTATAATAACATTAACAATTTCAGTACAATCAGGCTGGTCATAGATATCATAAACATATTTCAGCCGTCTCTAGATATTTTATATAATAAAATTACATTTTAGTTGAAATAATGGATACATTTATTATTAAAAAGCGAAAGTTAGATGAAGGCGATATTTAATCTAACCTCAATATTGAGTCAAAATCTGATGAATCAAATCAAGCTAGTTCTAGTTCTACTGGTTTAGCAGAAAAACCTAAAATACGTTTATATAATATCAGTTATTTTACTTTTATATTACTATTGCGTATTCAGTATAGAGTATAGGCCATTGGATGACTCCGGATTTTTAGAAAATAATTAAGGGTGCAGTGAGTTAAAAAAGGTTGGGAAACTCTGGACTGCACAATCCGCGTGTTCCTCAATAACCTCGAATATCAATCAGATGAAACACCCGATTGTTTCATCTGATTGAATGTTAAGGAATACCAATTTATATTAAAACGCAGAATGCTCTATCACGTGATATAAACAATTATTTGACAATAGATATTTATCTGATAATATAATTTAATGAACATATTAAAATGTGAAACGGGAAAAAAAAAAACGTTATGGCTAAATGTTGATAACACATTTCCATCGTCTAGCAAAATGACTATTTTGTTGATTGATGATCCGATGCACAAAGAAGCAGTAATCAGATTAATCGGATTTGATAAGGAGCATCGAAATCCATCGGATTGTTCATCTGATTGATAATCTAGCTTGTCGAGAAACACACGGATTGATACATATTATACATTGTAGATAAAATAATGTACGAACACTTAAACATTTAAATTCCATTGTTAATATGACCTACTTAATTGTTCTATCCCTAAATATTAGTCTTAATATTCTTTATTGCTTTAAACAAGCCACCTCCGTTTTTGGTTTTCCGCCCTCTTTCCTCGGATACCAAATTTAAGGCATTATTATTTAGTTATATCGATCTGAATATTATTATAAACCTACGTAACACAGCACACTTGGTAATGTTTATTGACTTGTGTCGGCTTTTTTTACCTACCGACTACGTTTAGTCATCCGAACAAATCCCGAAGTATAATATTTTTCAACGGATTTAAAATTTTAAACAAATAAAATGAAGATTAATCTATTATAGAATGAACAACATAACATATTTAAAAAATAATTTTCAAAAAGAAAATAACAAATTTTCGCATATACCCATACTTAAACTCTTATATTCATATAATATGTTTATATAGAAAATTAAAAATAATAATAATCGTTTCATTATATTACTGCCTGGGAGAATCATTATTTTTATTTACTACTTGTATAGAAATATCATATTATATTTCATTGTCATATTGTTGTATAAAAAAATCTTTGAAAAATATCAATTGGCTTTGGCCCAAATAACCCGGCTAAAGTTAAGCGTATTTAAAATTATTTTATATTATAATATTTATATTTCATTTATAATAATTATACAATCATCTTATTTTTCTCTCTAGATTTTATATCTCTGTAAGGGTTTTCACCATCAACACTTATTTTCCTTTCATTCGATTTTGTACTTTCAATCGATTCTGTTGTTAAATATTTTTCGAATCAAAAACTATTAAAATATTTTTTCCAAATTATTTTCAACCACATACAACCACCTTTTTTACACCTCATCTGAACCTGTTTTTCCTCCCATTTTCTAATTCATAACCGTATAAACAGCGTTTTCGCCTTTTCTACGCATTAGGTCAATGTTCGACCCGTTCCGTCTTTCTGAACTCATGTAATACTTTAGGCCACGTTCCGTCCGTAAAATTTGATTTTCAACAATTCTGAAATAATAAAAATATTAAATAATACCAAAAATGATAAAAAAGTATATTTCTAGTTTAGATGTAAAATATAAATTACGAATATTTCAGTCTAACCATAGATGAAAATACAATGTAAAACTCGTAAAAAAGAATTGATAATTATGACAAAAATTAATAATAAACTATCGAATCGTTGTAGATATAAATTAAAAGCTACACGAGCGTTACACTAATTTATTACGTGACGGAGAAATTAAAAAAAATTAAAAAATGTATGCTTTTTGTAAGACGGTAGTTTATTTTGCCACAGAATACATTTATGCAGTGGCGACTCGTGGACTTTGAAAGTGGGAGGACGAAAGTGGGATGAACATTTTTGAGTACAATTGAGTATATTGAGTACAATTATACATGCATATAAAAGATTATCAATAAACCGAAATGAATACTATATAGAAAAACATAATTATATCCATATTTACAATTTTTATTACAAAAAATGAAAATAAAAAAAATCATAAAATTATACATGTTTTTATATTTAAAATCTAAACGTTGATCTTTTATTTCACTAAACATATAAATAACTTTTTTGTTAAAATCTGCGTCATTGGGAATCATTTAGTTTTCAATAATTAAAATTGATTGAGCGTTTAACCTTTCTTCTTCAATTGTGCTCCGTAAACATGTTTTAATTCTTTCGAGTGTTGAAAAACATCTTTCGGCTTCAAATGATGTCATAGAAGCTGTTATTAATATTTTTAACAATGTAAAAACTTCTTTATTAGTTTCATTCATATCAATTTCTATTATTTATTTAAGCGTAATTATTATTCTATTCAAAGTTCGAATGTCATTTCGAGAATACAAACTTCAAGCTCAGTTTTTAACCTTTCTGTATCGAAGAACGGGTAGCATTTAATTGTAGATTCAAAATATTGAAGTGGAAATATTTTAGAATATTCCAAATATTTTTCAGCTTTGAATAAGTTAGCAGCGGTTAAAGGATCGGTAAATTCTAAACGATCTTTAGCTTTGATAATTAATATATCACAGACTTCAAGCACTGAACTTTTTCGAGTTATATATTAATATCTTCAACCGATTGCAAACATCGTTTTTTATTATTTATATTGGGCACATTCGAAGCTTGAACAATAATACCTGTTACATTATTTCGAATTTTGGTTATTTCTTTTATATATTTTTGCTATATTTTTTTTTATCAGCTTGAATATTATTATATAAACAATCTATATGTGGCATTATTTTATGAAAAATAACCAGAAAAAAAATACTGAGTCGCTTAACAAACGTTTTATTGATCCTACCTGATTAATTGTTAATGTTTGTTGGGATAGTTCTATTAATTTGTCCATGAACTTTATTATTTCATTTTTACACTCATAAACAGTATTAGTTGTACGAATATTGAAATTCCATCTAATTTGTACAGCCCATGGTAACTGAACGCCAACTAATTTGTCCAGTATTGCTCTACTCTTTGTGGTGTAGTCGAAAAAAAATCGGTATTTCTGATAAATTTGCAAATAATATCCTAACTTCTTTATTTTGAGAAATTAGATTGAGTCATAATTAAGTTTAATTGATGTACATAACAATGAATGTAATACGCGTAAAATTTCGCGTAAAATAACTCTAACGTTAACGCCACTTTTTCTTCCATTCATTACTGCCGCCCCGTCTTTGTAACCCGAGTTCATTTTATCCAAAATATAATGGTACCGACTAATCCCCTCCTTTGTTTTTGCGTTTTAATCATATTTTTAATTTTATATATAAGTTTATGACGGCGATTGTCAGCGTCACCCAGCGCCGAGCGCTATAGCTAAATCCTAATAACTGATAAAATAATATTGTAGATATCTACTGATTCTATACTAGATAGTCAAGAATTTCTGTTTAGTTTAACATTTTTATCCAAAAAGTACCTACAAAATACAAATTATTTAAAAACTCGCAAAATTATAATGTATTAATAAAGCTCATAAATAGCAGAAATGTTTTGTTCACGTCTAGAAAGGTCATTTTGAATTTTTTGTTCAAATTTCAAGTTCAACATTTTTTCGTTTTTCCTACGTTTTTTCCGGTTTTCCTCAATCATTATAAAAACTGCTTTTAAAACCAAAAAATTACCTGCTTAAAGTACCATTACTTAAGTACTTAAGTACTTAAGTACATTCCATTACAATTTTTTTTCAGAAAAATTATTAAACTTGAAAATCGTAGCAAAATTACTGGTAGAAAAGTTGTTCATAGTATAGAAAAATTAAAATTAAAAAAAAAAAACATTGTAAAAATCAATAGATTCTTTGTTCCATTATGATGGTTCATTTTATCTATCAAATTTATTTGTTTATTTCGTCACGGTTTTATCAATAATCAAATTTTACATCATACTTTTTATAAAATACGAACATTTTTATGTAATTTATATTGTGATAGTGACGGTTATGTATGGGGGTATAGCTATGTAGTAAAATAATATTTCTGACACAATTGTATTATATGTAGTAAATAAACACGGTCAAGGGAGGATGTTGCTACGCCTCCAACACCCATTTTCGCTGGCCTATAGATATATTCTATCCTTCATCTTTTAATTTTATCTTTTAAAAAACTTTTTATCATTAACCTTAAAAAAACTATCATGGCGTAGTAGAGAGTATGTCGTATGTGATCTATCCTAATTATTATCTTGATTATCCCTACTATATTTTTACAATAAATTTGACATTTGTATTTTTCAATTTTTCATTAATCCTTTTTGAAGCTACTTTAATTTGGAACCCTATCATATTGCAAAGTATTGACCATGTAATAGTACAATTGTCACAGATTTGAAATAATTCTAAAAAAATTATAATTAATAGGTATGGTATACGTTACACATATATTTTTAAAAACGTTAAATGATACCTTCAATTCTCAGAAACATTAATTAATAATTTATTAATACAACAATTTATAATTTTTAGAAAGAGAATATTTTTCTAAAAATATGATATGTTTGAGTTTCATGAACAATTTGAAATGTCGATAGAAAGAATGCTTTTGGACAAATAATATTTGATACATGATTATGGTCCAAGTAAGGGTACAATTTTGAAAATTTTAAAATAAAAAGACGGTATTAAATAATTGAAAATAACGACTGAAAAAAACCAAAATTGAATTTACCTGAATGCTAGTATAAATAAAATTAATTTTATCGCTGGTTCTCGGTAAAAAAAATTATCCTGTATATATATTATACATATTATTTTCGTATATGGACAAATATTATGATATTGGTCATGATTAACACGTAAGTATTCCGCTGTCATGCATCGCGAGAATAAAGAAAACGATTTACGATATTTTTCCGTTATTAGCGTGGATTATACATTTATACAGTATATTATCGAAAATAGTATTTAAAATAAGTTCGATAACGCTCACAAATGTGCTACTGTTTTAAGAGGGAAGTTGGAAAGCAGGATACATATATAAAATTTTAAATTATCTATTTATATGCAATAACAAACCATTATTAATGAAAAACGATTACATGTTTGAAATGCCGTAATATTTACGATTTTCATCAAAATTAAATCTTGAAAACATCTTGAAACAATAGAAAATTACTACATTATACTCTACTTTTTTCCTTCGACTACTAAGTACAATTTATAATGAACCTCGTGTACCTATTAAATAATAATTAGCAAACATGGTCAAAGCCTATAGATAGTTTAAAAATTGCTAAAATGTTAAACATGGCATTTTTGTTTGGTCTAACAATTTTATCCACGAGTATCTAAATTTCTATAAATAGTTTAACATTTTTTAAAATTTAATCACGCCTAGAAGAATCAAATATGAGTTTTTTTTTTATCAAAATTTCAAGTCTGCGAATATTTTTAATTAAATTACAAAAAATAATAAAATTGAAAAAAATGAATAGCTAACAGATATTTCCGTAATCATTCCCGTTATTTCTATTTTTGTTCAATTATTAAGAAAACTACATTGGAAATCAATAAAACGACTTAATTAATCACCAACTATATAAAAAATAAACAAGAAGGTCTCTTGACATTTTTCGATAACATAATCAATATACTAACTAGATCCGAAATTCAGCAAAACAGGTCTCTTGTGATTTTTCGATTGGAACAAGTTTTTTAGTCGGAAAGTTACTTACATACACAAGAAATAAAAGTAACAACAATCATCGTAAGCCAATAGATCGTTACTCTCGAAATCTAAAATGATTTCTTTAATGTAGCAACTAGATCAAAGATTTTATAAAAAAGTTTAAGTTAGGTCAATTCAGTAGCCAGGCCATGCCACTGGTTTAAGTTTAGTAAAGTTAAATATTATAAAGTTTTTTATTTGAGCGAAATTGCTGGTCAAAAATTTAGTTAGAGACATTAAACAAATTTATACACACTTTTACAATTTATAGTAAAACCAATACATTCGTCGCTCCGCCGAGTATCTAAACAAAATAATATTTTACACATTTTTCATTTCTGTCAACAGTTGTTCGGTCTGATAGTGTATTTCTGCGCGTCGTCAGGTTCGTGGACAACAATGAAGGCAACCAACGACGAAGTGTGTATGTTCAACCTCAAGAGTTTTGGGTGTCACGTTGGAGGCGTGGTGGGCTTCACGTCGGTAATCGGAGCGGCCGTGTTCGTCGGCGGCGAGTATTATTTCGAAAACGTGCCGTCTGTAAAAAGCCGTAAGCATTACGTGCTCATCGACCTTGGATTCTCTAGTAAGAACTATAAGACTATGACATAACATAATATATACTGCGGCAACCGCCATGACGACAAACACAAATTCACAAAACTCGACACTCTGTACGTATCACGTATATACAATATCATTGTGTCGTTATTGTCTGTTTTTTTTTTTTTTTTTTATAAGCCGATTGAGACCAACGAGTGTTGAACAAATATTTTACGAAAATTATATTTTTGTCGACATACGCATCAATCAATTTTTAAACTTTTAAACTTATAGGTATAACGTATTTATAATCTTTGCTATAATACCCGCTGGTGTATCGGTAAATTGATTTTTGGGTATACACACTTTTCAATGATATGAGAAAAAAACATTTTCTTGCTACGCCCTAAATATGAAAATATTAAAAAATTGTACACTAGATTCCAAATTATGTACTTTCATCGTTATTTGTTTACTTTAACAACTTTCTTTTAGTTGTTTCTAAATATCATATTAATGATTCTGTAAAATACACACCTAATAAATACAAATTATGCAACTCCATATTTTATACAATGAAATTATAAAACTTAAAATAGGTATTTTATAATTTTATAATAATTTTTTCCACTAGTTTTTAGTTCAAACGTCTAATAACGTTTCGATTGACGATCAATCATTGATCTGCAGGTAGAATCGACCCTCAGATTAGCTTATCAATCGTAATTTTGTTCACGGACTAAGGATATGGTGTACATTTGTATATTATTTAATATTGTCATAGACAATACAGATTAAAGATATTTTAATTATTAATGATAATTGTATGTATTACATTTGTTATCTGAAAGCAATTTTTTTTTAAATAACATGTTTTTAGCAACAATGATAAAAATATGTTATAAATATTTCAGTTATTATTTACCAGTATACAAACGTATACGTGTGGTATATTTTTCAAAAAAGTGTACGATTGATAAATATTGAAATATGCGATTTGGGTACACGCCGTATACTCTCCAATACACCACTACTAATACCTATAATACGTTTCGAGTGAATTGTATTTATACATTATTTCAGTTATTATGATGTATACGCTAATAAGGGCCGAATCGCTGTTTCGAGGCGTGAGGTGATCGATTTTAACGTCATTTTGCTTAAACACTTTTTGAGGTTATATCAAATACGAGTATTACAACAATAAAATACTTCAATATTTTCCCACCGATCGATTAACGATTGAGCATATTTTGTGTTTGCGCTGGTATACGGTCAATGTTTTAATATTAGTCGTTCGTTTTAGTTACACCTTACAAAAATAGTTTTTTTAAGAGAAATTATGGATTGGAATATCGGGGTTTAGAACTATCGCCGTATCATATACTCGTATCTCGTGTAAAATTGAATTTTGTGGATAATATAAACTTTGATAGAATGAAATTAGTGATAGCGATTCATCCAGCACTATGATCGCAAGTTGAACGCTACGATAACCGTGCCGACCGAGTTGGATATATATATACACGTACTACTCGGTACTCCGGCCAGTAACGCCTTGGTCACGAATTAAGATGTACATTATACACTTATGAAGAAATACGATTGTAAAATATATATCTTAATCCGTGGTCATGGTAAACATGATCAAAAACTAAGCAGAATAGAGCATTTTATACGAAACGTCAGTGCTTGAATCGGGAGGGGTCGTGAGGGGACAGAGTACCACTTCTTTTTTAAAAATATTTTAGCGTACTACCTCTAATTTTTCTTAATGATCTTAATTAGGTTAAATGAAATCATTAAAGGGTACAATACTTTTTTTTAAGCCTCATAGTATCCCTTTTTTTTATTTTTCCGATTTGAGCAATTTGAGAACCACCCCCCCCCCTTAAATGTGAAATTAATACTAGGGTATACAGCTGGGTACATAATGTCTTGAAGTTATTTAATTTAAAATTTAACGACTATATAGATTTCGAAAGTTTTACTGTGGGAATTTTGATTTTAATATTTATATAATAATTTAACATAATTTGATTATTGATGATGAAACACTATTATACTATCATAATTCAGATTTATCTGATATTATTTGTGTACATTATAATATAATGTTTGAGAATCTAAACGTTTAGACATTTTAAATGTTTAAATTTACGGGCCAGCACAGAATTTAAAAAACAAATTAATTCGAAATTATGCCATAAAATCCACCTATAATATTTAATATAACTTCATTATATACGTTCACATACTTTTAGGTTTATGGGCCTTTTGGAATTTTTTACTCTTCTGTTACTTGTCCAACGCTTGGAGCGATACACCTGATATACCAGAAATGACCAGCACTGCCAATCCAAATACTGCCATCTTTTTTGCTTTATTCGCTGTTTTTTCATGGGTAAATTTATTAATAGAGTTTTTCAGAACCTAATTTTATTTTTAACTATTACCAATATCAATGTTATTTATAGACATGTTCCGCGTACTTTTCGTACCAAAGATATCAAATGGGCGTAGACCCGTCGTTCGTGTCGTCTTTTGAAGCAGATCAGTTTGGAACATACGAAGAAACGCAAAACAACAGCACCCAAGAGTCTCCATTTAACAAACAAATGTCAGGTGTGTAAACGTTTTCGATGTCTATAAAAAAAATAATAAATAAAAAATACACTAGTTTAGTTGATGAATTATAAGTATAACAAATAATAATAATCAGGTAAGTATTTGGTGGAATTATTTTATTTACCAATCTAAAATAATAATAATACCAATTTAGTGTATAAATAATACTTCATTATTAATATTTTATTTATTTTTAATTATTATTTATGGGTAGAATAAAATATTTAAATACGGTTTTAAATTGAATATAATACACTCTTGCGGTTTTTGAATTTCAAAAATACATTTTACATAATATCATAAACTGACTAGAATATATATATCTACTTAAGTACTAAGGTATAGTATCAAACATTTTTATTTTATGTTTTAAAATATCGTATTTTTTTATGTATTTCAGGAGAATATCAAACTCAAGCTTACTAAAAAAAAAAATGTCTACAAGTTAGATTTTCAAAAAAAAAAGAGCAATGGTTTCAACATGCCATGAAAAAATGAGTCGTTACCACATAGGTACTATACAAATTATAACATACATACTATACTTATCGCTGCCGGTACTTTTACAATAACACAATTACTGGTTTCAATAATATTTCAAAGAAAAAAAAAATTATTATTGAATATAGTTTTAGTATTTCGTGTAAATGTATAGTTTTTAAAAGTGTGTAATCATTGTTTTTTTTTTTTTTTTAAAAATTAGTGATTTATGAACTCTCTTTTATTTTATTAATTTATAATATTTGGGAGAACACTTATTCTTATTATAACGGTACATTTTTCGACTACCTATTTAATTATTTAATTATTCGTTTATAAAAAAAAAAAAAAAATTAATAATAATAAATAATAATAATAAAATTTAGTACTTATAACAGTTGTGAAATATTTAATAATACATTACATATATATACATATATTAGTATTGTAAAATAGATCTTTAAATTAATTATTGCGATTATTTATCGATATGGAAGATAAAATCCAAATACATTATTACATTTTGACACTTACGTTTACAATCATATAATATTATGATTCAGTTGCTTGTCCAGGGATTTTTAATTGGAGGGAATATTCTAAATAATAATAATGGAAAAAATCGTGAAATATTTTGTTCTATCCAACTCCACTATATGGAAATTTAAAAGCCGGACCCCTCAAAAAAAAAAAAAAAATAAATTGAATCACTAAATCAAGCTTTTCCTGGAACTTGGCATAAATAAATACACTTAAAGATAAAAATCACTAAATAAATACTAATCATTTTTGTTGTATTTTCAAGCCGATGTAGGAGTCAGGGTAGGGTAGAATAGAGTAGGAATAAGGGATATATCATAAAATGTCTACTTCACCCTGTGCATGCCACTGTTATCATCAAATATTTGAAAGTTTAAAAGGAATTTGTATTATATTATTGTAGATATTCGTGAATAATTATAATATATATATTATTATATTATTAAATAAGTTACAGAGATAAAAAAATGCAAATTAATTTTATTCCATTTCTATAAAAAATATACTATATTCTCTTTTTAAATGCTTAAGTCATTATAAAACTTCAATCAATAATAATATAGCCTAATAAAAATGACAAGTATAAATAATTATTAGAGTTTAGTATGTTTTAGAAAACATTATATTAACGTGTTTATATTATATTATTACAAAAACAGAATGCTGTTTTGCCGCATCAGTATTTATTGGTAGATTGATATTATATTATAAACGAAGATAAAATTATATAATCGACTATATATTAATAATTACTAATTAACATCGTTATATTAACGTTTGTAAACATTGATAAATATTATATTGATTATATTATATTTTTTTCTTTCTTAAAATATGTATTATTTGAAGCGATTATAACAATAAAAAAATTATAATATACCTATTATACTACATTAAACAATTTTAATATTATATTATGTATGTTTACGTTATCTTATATAGTTATAAGTTATAATAAAACAAAAGGTAAACGTTTTAAAAATACCTATATAATATACATCGACCAATGTTATAAAATACTTATAATTCGTAAAATCGTTTCAAAGTGGTTCGTATAAGTGATATTATTTATGTCAAAACGTGTACAATTGTATTGTATAACATTGTAAAAATTGTAAGTAGGTACAACCAAATAGGTATCAGAAAGATAACTAATTTCAAATTCCAACCGAAAAAAAGATACGGACATACTTCACACGGTGGGTGGGCAACTATTATAGATGAGAAGTTGGGAAGGTAGGATATAAAAAGGAATTTAATATACGTATACATCTGTCTATCAAACGATTAATCTTTGCTAACGAAAAACGATTCTGAAGGAGGTTCGGTTATACATTTTTGAAAGGCCGTAATATCTACAATTTGAAAATAATACATTTCTTACATTTTTCCGTTTTGTCTACGTTTTTTTCTCATGTTTTTCTCGGTTTTTTAATTTATTATGAAAACAGCTAAGAAAAATCGAAAAATTACCTTCCTAAAGTCCCAATCAAATTTCTTTTCAGAAAAATTGCTAAATAATTGAAAGCCAGAGTAAAACTGCTGGTAGAAAAGGTGTTCACAGATAAAAAAAAAAAAAACCTTTGTAAAACCAATACATATTTTGCTCCACACAGAATCTAAAAATAAGGGTGAACATTTTTCATACTTACCTATAATATGATCATAATTAAAATATTGAATAATTTATATAGGTATACATTAGGCTGATCTACTATTTATGTCTATGCGTATTAGGTAGATTTAAATATTATGTGATGTAGAAAAGTAGAAAAAAAGATGATACCTACTATTCACGGCTAGGACACTGTCTTAGATAAGCAATTGAGAAGATACATAGGGAAATTTAGTTTATATCGAAAACGAGCAATGTAGTATTAGTTGTGTTCTTTACATGTTGTCAGGGGAATTCAGAAATTAATTAAATTTATAAAACGAAAAAGTATCTAGATCAGTTGCTAAAAATGTCGATAAATGTTTCAAATCAAATATTACTGGGAAACAAATCCTCATATTTTAAGGTATAACATGAAAAAATCTGAGCATTTCTCTTATCCAAAAAAAAAAAACAAAATACATCTTATTAAAATTAACAGGTTCTTCGTTACACACAGTTCAGAAATTCAATTATTTATTTATTTATTTAATATTCAAGTTTATTATTTAAGTTGCTAGCAAATTGGCTACTCGTCAATTTTTTTTTTGAAATCTGGAAACAAAATCTTTTGGAGTGTAGGCTTCACACGTTTTAAATCATTAATTTTTGAATTTATTATGGGATTCTTCTGGATACACAACTAGCTGTTTTTTAAGTAATTTGATTGGCCAACTATTTTGTTTTTTAGATTCTGAGTGTAATGAAGAATGTATTGGTTTTACAAAGATGTTTATTATTATTATTTTTTCTGTGGATAACTTTTCTACCAGAGATCTTGTTCTTGATTTTTAAGTGTAGCATCTCTTCTGAAAGGAAATATGACTGAAAAAGTACTTTAGAGAGGTCATTTTTTAATTTTCTCAGGAGTTTTCCCAATAAATAGGAAAAATATGGGAAAACTGGGAAAAACGGGTAAATAGGTAAAATTATATTAAACAAGTATTATTAAAGAATATATATAATGCATATGTAATTACTTAACCATAATATTACATATACATTGTTGACAAAGCAACACTACCTACTGAACTTCGCTCAGAATCGTTTTTTCGTTAGCAAATGGTTAATTATTGCGTACAGATATATATTCAATTTTACCTCTACTATCTTCCCAACTTCTTACCTATAACAGTGGTCAACCCACGTGCGAAGTATGTCCGTTTTTCTTTTTATAACTTACAAATATTTTAAAATCAAAAGGATTGCATAATATTTTTTACAACACAAACTCAAAAATAGATCGACTAGCAAAAATATCAATAAATAATGAATGAAAAATTGTTGGCTGTTAATGGTAAGATCTGAACAAAAACCTATGAGTGAGACTTCATACAGTCACCTTATCACAGTTATTTATTCAGATGTTAAACTCACAAAGGGGACATTGTCCCTTTTTTGCACTAAGCACTAACTTAAGCTGTTTATATTTCCATTACGGTTTGTTGGACTAGTCCCATTTTTACATAAAATAAATACCTATTTAAAGCAAACAAATATAAATCCGGTAATAACTCAATTTCATTAGGAATTGGTCATGTCCCCTTTTTGACTACTGATTCATATATTATACATATAACAATATAAACCAATATATTTTGTACTTCTAATAATACATTTCTTTAATATAAACTGCTTTTCAACATAAAGAAAAAAAAAGATTTCGGAGTAGCACGTGTCCCCAGTTCTACGGCACTGAACCTAGTTGTGTTTATGATAGTTGATTATTATTAAAATTCTTAAAATACTTTTATTTTGGTATCTAATTTTGTATTAGTGTTACTATGATGTATATAAATCTTTTTTGATTTTTCTGTCTGTAAACAACTTTTTTACCAGAATTCTATGTTCAGTCAAAAACTTTTAAAAGAACTTTCTTGTAGCATTTTTGATATGGTTGATGCATTTAACAGATAATTTTTCGATTTTAGTTGTATAATTTTTGTTTGATTTCTGTGTTACTATGACAATAAGGGGAAAATACGACTCCGATACTAGGTCGTAATACTCCACTCAGAATAATTTTTAGTTAACAATGATTTATTGTTATGTACAGACATAAATTAAATTACTTTATATTATATCTTCTCTTCCAATTTTTTTCCTAAAACAGTGACACAACCATCAACAGTATCACCTTTTCTTATTTAAATTCATAATGTCAATACTATTATTTAATAATTATAATGTTACATATATACATTTAAATTAATAATAATAGGTAATCATTTATTATTAGACGTAATGTTACGAACAATACTTATCTCCTTGTCAACTAAATCAACAACTGTAATTATGTACTTACTAGTAACTATACCAGTGGTTCTTAAATTTTTTTATTCTACTTTGTAGATTTTCAAAAATATTATACTTCTTGATAAATTGAAAAAATTGCCCGTGCACAGTATTGAACCAAAAACAAAAAATGTGAAAATGTATACAATTGTGTATCTGTATTTCTCTGGTATCCATCACAGTTTACCGTTGTTGCTCAGTAATTTATATTTTTTAAAGAGCGCTTATTTGCCTGTGACAACTAAGTTAACTAAATAAAAAAATAATAACTATTTTTTTTCTTATCTGTTTCGTCAAAATAACTATAAATAATATATATATATATATATATATATATACAAAAAAGTCAAATAATTTGATTTTCATTCTAAAATTACCAAAATCCTCTTATAAATAACATAAATAAAAAAATTAGAAAAATAAGAATAAACAAATTTGTTCAGGATTCGAGCAAAGGTTGAAATGCTAGTTTGGAATGTAAAGTGAATGCCACTGCGCTAATATATTTACAGTGATTTTTAGTATATTTAAATTGTGATATAGAGTACCTATTGTTTTATATAACATCCATACTAATAGTCATATTGTAACTCCCCTCTCCAGGGTTTGATTAAAAAATATGTAACCTATGTTTTTTCTCAAAAAACAAGCTATTTAATAGAAAAATAATTTTTCAAATTGAACTGGTAATTCCTGTGATTACCTTGGATACATAGAAAGCAAACAGACATGTGACTTAAATTATATTGTATGTCTTCATTCAAATAAAAATTTCAGAAGACATTTATTTATTTTTTTTTTTTACAAGTATATCACATGTTGTATATTTTATTTTTGTTGTATATATTTTGTAGTACATACAAATGTAAAAATATTGTACGAAGTATTTCAAAAAAAATCTCGCATGAGAACTTTAGAATAAGAAAAAGTTTACAAAAAACAAAAACTTGTCTGGATTTGCAAACAATTGCAGAATCGAATTTCCAAGAATTAATAGTCACGAAACACTACAATAAACGAAACAAAATAAAAATAAAAATAATAAAAATAAAAAAATGGATAAAAGCTATTTTAATTTGTTCAATAGGTTTTCTATTATTAATCATACACATTATGTATTATATATATTATTCATCGTACATACATAAAATAAAACGGTTTAAGTTTTTAAAACCTATCGTGTGTCCGAATTCAAACGGTAGATAATGATATATGTTTTTTTAAAGTTCTTAGTATTAGGAAGTTTTTAGTTTTTACAATCCGAAAACGCAATAAACGCGCTACCGAATACTTTTGTTTTATATTGTTCGACTTTTTCGATACACAAAACAATTGCCCGGCGTGGTGTGTAAGAAATGGTCGTAGGAATTTTATATAAAATCCGTTTCCTTTATTTGTTCGTACTTGTGAAAAAAAAAAAAATATTAATACTTAAAAGGAAACAAAATAACATTAAACCTAATAATTTTGATCTCCAATAAAGGAATATTATGAATTTACAAGTATAAATATATAAATTATAAAACTGTACATTTTTTGGAAGGAGTACTTCTCCTATTTCTTCTCATAATAGTATGATTATTCACCATTACTCTACATCGTCATCTGTCTCTATCTTGAACTGTCTCTCTCTGTATTTTAACTGCCAGTCTTTTCAAATTTTCTCCACACCGTCAATCCTTTTCCTGTTTATTTCTCTAGGTTTCATAACCTCCACTCCATCGGTAATAAAATTATAGAAATATCACTGACCCACGAAAGCAATGTCTCAATAATCCCCTTTATCTATAATAATCGAAGATCATAACCTAACCTTAACTTGTTATTGGTGCTAATCTTATCATATAGGATACAAAAAGTTATTTAGTTTATATCTATACGCAAAGATAAACCATTATTAATGAATAACGAATTGGAGCAAAGTTCGGTAAGATATATTTTAAAATGCCCCAATTATTATGATTTTTGTCAAAATTTGATTTTAAAACTCGTTTAAAAAAGACGTCTTAGGATAATGGGGTCGGGTGCAGCCACTGTTATAGGTAATTTAATCTATTATTTATTATTTAATCTATAATCGAAAAAACGATTTTGTGTGAAGTTTAGTTTATAGTGATGCTTTATCAACAATATATATATATTATAGTAAAATAATTAAATAAACTTTATATATTTTCTTTAACAATATTTGTTTAATTTTGTACCGATTTCTCCGGTTTTCCTACGTTTTTTCTGATTTTCTCAGTTTTTTATATTTATTGAGAAAACTCGAAGAAAATCAATAACGATCTCTCTAAAATACCTCCCCAGTGAAATTAGTTTTTTAGAAAAATTGCTATCATTATAAGTTTAAGCAAAATTGCAGGCAGAAAAGTTATCCGCAGAAGAAAAAAAATGGTAATATTATACAAATATATTTCGTATATATTCCTGTTTTTTTTCGGTTTTTCGCATTTAAAGAGAAAGCTTCCCACACTGATTTTCTTTTTGAAAAGGTGCTACATTTAAAAATCTGAGCAAGTCTTCTGGTAGATTAATTTCGAATAGATAGAAGAAAAAAAATAAACATCTTTATAAAACCATAAGCTTCTTTGCTCCACTCGGAATCTAAAAAGAGATACATTTTTAGTTTAAATACATTTTGCAAGTAATTTATAATTAAAATTAAAATCAACTAATTAACACTATATAACTTCCCTTCACTGAGAATCTAAAATAAAAAATGCTACTTAAATTAATTTTTTTACCACGAAGTACGATTTATAATTAACCTCTGTTGAATTTCCAAGCATTTCTTTTTAGTTTAATAATTTTATTCACAGAATACCTACCAAAAAAAAAAAATTACGTAAAATCTCGAAAATTAATTTAATGTCTATGAATAGCTCAAAAATGGCTGATATAAAAAAAATTAAGGCATTAAATTAAAATTTGTTTTTTAGACTACTAAATAAAACTTATAATGTAGGTATCTTGGGTTAAATTTTCAAACATTTCTCTTAAGTCATATAAATTAAATTACAAATACCTATCATATAAAGATACCGTATAAGATAATATCATTCACCTATAAATAGTCTAAAATGTTTACAAAAGACTGATATAAGTATTTTGTAAAAACTATAATAGTAAAACTACTATCAACAAAAAAATCCAAATGCCGTACACTTGACCGTATTTTCTATGTTTTTTCTTGGCCTTTCGTAACTATTAGGAAAAATATACGGAAAATTAAACGACTTTCTTACTCACAAACTAGATAAAATTTTTTTTTAGAAAATATGCTATTCTTGAAATTTGGATAAAGATTTCAGGTAGAAAAATATAATCTTAAATATTTCAAACAATACGCCATTAATTAAAAATGAAAATGATATTGTTGCGCCGTAATTTGAATAAATCGTATTTTTCATTTTTTGGGGTTTTCCAAATCATGAAAACAATTTTAAATATCAAAAAACGATTTTCTTAATCAGTGGTAAGATATCAATTGAAAAAAAATCGGTCTCTTGTTATTTTTCAATTGGATTATTATTTCTGGTAGAAAACATAAGTTAAAAACAATGAAATCGATAACACTACAGATTCTCGTAAATATTTGTCGTTTATCTATAATTTTCTTTCCGGTTTTTCCTAGTTATTTTAAAAATCTCTTGGAAAATCAAAAACTAACTCTCAATGCACTAACTAAATAAAATTTCATTTCAGAAAAGATGTTACACTTCATACTTCGGAGTTTGGAACAAGAATTATGATAGAAAAGTTGTTCACAGATAGAAATAAAAACACACATCATAGTAAAACCAATAGATCCTTCTATACGTTCCGAATCCAAAAAATAGAATGCCTCGTCCTTTAACTGGAAATAATATGACGTGTATAAAACTTTCGTAAAACACGTACTAGAATATACAATAAATAACATCGCGAACGTCATTGTTTTAAAAAGAAAAACATTGTTGTAAACTTGTTATAATTTTTAATATTATATACAGCGTGTTCCACGAAAATAGTATTACGAAGTATTTTAGCCGAATGGATTTATATTAATAATAATAACTTAATTTAATTAATTAATTTCTATTATAGAAACAGTGAACATGCCCAATTTAAATTTGGTGTCTTGATTCAACCAAAATACAATAAATATGAATAGAAGAAGTCAAAAACATACAAGAATATTTAACCAGCAGTATAAAGTACGATATATAAGAATACGCAAAGAATACGCAATATATACAATACAAATA